TTCTCCACCCAGCCCACCCTCCTACAGTCCCCCACAAATTGACCTCACTGGGCCTGCTTTTATGAAAGGTTTATTCCTAGTGCTAGGTCCCAATCTTCCAGGGCTCTAAGCACAATTAAACTGGGTGGATAAGTGAGGGGAGGCCCATTTAGATGCAGGGCCAGAAATGGGGCTCCCCATTATTCCCACCCCTTTGGTCCCAGTCCCTTTCTCTGCAATGGGCACGCATAGAGGAGGGACGAAGGGTATTGGAGGCAACATCATTGGCCCAGGGAAGCCCAATAAGAGCTGCCATTGGCTGACAGGGCCTTTTGAGGCTCTGCCATTGGTCAGGGGGCACACCCCAGGAGCTGGGGATAGGCCTGAGTGATACCATTGGCCAGGGAGTAGTTTTGTCATAGCCTTTGGCTGTGGAGTGAAAGGAAGATATCTGGGAATAAAGCCCAGTGGCCAAGAAGATAAGGGACAGGGCAGCAGCTGCTGGGCCGGCAAGCCCCATCCCTACCCACAGCAATGTGGGCAAAACTGGTGTCAGGCCCCAGCCAGGGAAAAGGAGCCCATGCCAGACAGCACTTGGCAATGGATGTCCCATGTCCGATCTCCCCCACCCTGGGACTGCCCCTCCCAGTGTCCTTCTTGATAGCCAGGTTGGGCTGGGAGCGGCTCACTGCTCCTCTAGCCAGGAGGGCTTCTCAGCTCCTGGAGGCCTTAGCTTGATGTTGAACTGTTGCAGGGTCTGCTCCAGTTGTTTCTGGTTCCCAGCAAAGTAGGCGGACACGGCATTGTGGAAGAGCAGCAGCTGCTTGTGCATCACCTTGATCTGGGAATCCAGAGGGTCAGCTGGGACTCAGGTGCCCTTCTTGAGGGGCTGAGCCCGAGACCAGACCAGGGTCACATGCACTCTGCTCTGATGGTACTTCTGGGGTGGGGGCTGAACTCCACCAAGGGAGTCAAAGGAGAAAGGTCAATTGGATGGGAGAAACCTGACTTGATTTGCTAGACCTTGGGTTCTGGTACTGCAGCTCAAGGTGTGATTTTTTGGTCATGATCCTAGGACCAGCAGCTGACTGTTCAACAGAAAAGGGCCAGGGACTGGAATTAGGGAGACCTGGAAAGGTCCAGAGGTTGAGGGGACTAGGGGAAGATCTTGCTCCTTAGTGAAACTGCATTTCTCCATACAATAATGGGGAGGGTCTAAGGAGAGGGTCAATGATACAGATGGGAAGGTAGGCTGGGGTCAAAAGGGTGAGTTTAGCACCTTGTTTTCTTCCAGGAACTTGAGCTTGATGGCCACATCTCCCCGCAGCTTCTCATATTTGTCCCGATGGGCCTGGAAAGTAGCCTGGGCACTCTCAAGTCGACCACGCGTCCCTGCATCCCGGGGGCCTAGGCTCAGCTCCTCTAAGTCTGTTCGGTAGGCATCATATTCCAGCCTGGGAAGGGGGTGATATAGGCTCATCTCCACCTCTCTGTTCTCCACATTCTCCTTTCCTTCCTGAATTCTTATGCCCTTAATCTTAAACTTCCACCCAAGCCAGCCAACTCCCCAAACCCTAGGCCCTGCCAGTGCCCACACCTGGCAGCCTCATACTGTTTGACAGTCATGAGTGTGTCTTCCATGGTCTTGGTGACCAATGTGTTGATGCTAGAGACAAAGAAGTTCACAGCCCCTAGTAGTGTCTCTCCATTCTTGCACAGCAGCTTCTGTGTCTCTGCATTGTAGCCAAATTCCTCCTGAGGGCAGAAGGGAGGGACAAGCCTTAAGACAGAGTCCCTACCTGACTGGAGCTGTAGGGCCCTTCATTCCCCTCTTCCCTAGGGAGGAAGCAGCCATTAAAACTGAAACAATCAAGGACTGCCTCCAACAAGGCTCTCTTAGCCAGAAAGTTAGTGGGGCCACCCTGGGGATGCCTGGGGTGGGAATGTGGGGGCGGGGTTTCAGATAAATTCACAAGACTAGAACAGAGAAAGCTAGTGCAGCAGGCAAGGGAGGGGCTCGGATTAGGCTGAGCACCAAAGGCATTCTCACCAATGCAGAGAAGGGTTACTTGTGAGGCACCTAGTGTGCCGCCTCCCCCAGCCCCTCCAACTTCTGGACCTCTGTACAAACCCTTAGGCTGCCTCCACAGGTGAGTGCTGCTGGGGGCAGGGCTGGGCCCACCCTGTAGGGGTTCTCCCTCTGGGCTGCAGGAGGGAGGGAGGGAGGGAGGCTGAGGGGTGACTGCCTGGGAGGGCCTGGACCCAGTCCCCCCACCCACTTTGGCCTGGCAGAGGCACCTGAAGCTCTGGGGACTTCTGGCTGAGGTCAGCAAAGGCGTCACCTAGTGCATGCTGGGTCTGCAGCAGGCTGTAGAGGTGGGCTGTCAGTGCCCGGCCCAGCTGCAGGACGCTCTCATACTTGCGCTTAGTCTCACGCAGTAACTCAATCTGCAGCTCTAGCTCCAGGTCCACAGTCCGAGAGCCTCGGCCAAATCGCTCTGATAACAGCTGCTTTGTGCACTGATTGAAAAGTGGGGGAAGAGGTCAGAGACCCTAGCACCTTGCCCCCACAACAGGTATCTATCCCGGTATACCCAGGCTCCTAGTCTCAGTAATAGATGGAATATTAGGATCTAGGAGAAGGGAAAAAGGTACCCAGGGGGAATTTGGGGGAAGGATGAGGTGCTTGAATCCCACCTTATATGTGTTGATGCCCCATTTCTTGACGATGTCAAACTTTTCTCCAGCGATGCCCCGAGCCACCTCATCTCCGGGGCCAGCAGGAGTGGCACTGTGAGATGGATGGCGGCCAGACCCTAAAGGACCAAGTTCTTTGACACCAGCATCTCTCAGATACAACCAGACACCTCTGTGGCTCCCACCCATCCTTCCCTCCCAGCACCTGAAAACGACTCTCCTGAAGGAACATACGCTAGAGGCAATTAGATTCTCCTACACACTAGGAGGAGCTCATATCTTGCGCCTTGAGACCAAAATACCAATATACATCTGGCCACCTTCTAAGGTGGTGGGGATTGGAGGGGGAGAGAGGAGGGAGCTGCTGGTGTATAGGGGCAGAGGAAACAGAGGAAATACACTGAGTGTGGGGTGGGAAGTCAAGGCTGGTGGGTCCTGATAAGGGGACACCTGGTTGACATTCCCACATGGTATCCAAGTCTGTGTGAGATTCAGGGTTGTTTATTCCTCCAAGCTTTAGAGTCTAAAGTGAAACTCTGAGAAGCCTCATAAAGTTCCAAATCAGCATCAAGCTCCAGAGCAGGGGGAATTTCTGTGGAACAGAGTCCTTAACTTGACTCAGGTGGTGGCAGCAGAGAAAGGGTGTGCCTCAGGGGAAATAGCAAATGGGAGCAGTTAGCCAACCCTGGGAACTGGCTTTGGGGTGAGGAGAGTCCATAGGGTTCATACTAGCAGGAGTTTCCAAGATCTCTAGAGATAATTCAAGCTTTCTCAGACATCTCCTATACTTCCAGAACCATTCTTCTCCCCCTGTCTACTCAAGCTTCCGGTCCTGTTCTGATCATTCATACCTGTGGGGATGAGTCCATCACCAGAGCCCCCATAGCCACCAGACACAACACTGGTTTCATTGAGGTTGGGTCCTGACACCATCACCTGCTGGAGGTCCTATAGGCCAGAGAAGAGGGGGGCTTCAGGAACTAGGGGCAGCTGAAGCATTTTGGGGGTCAGAACAAGCTTGGATTGAAGCATCATAGAGAAAGCACACAAGGGAAGTCTGCATAGAATCAGAATGAAGATTTGTAAAAAGGCTGAAGGGAGTTGGATAAGTTAGGGAAGGCAACCGAAGTGGAATGAAAGCCAAGGGTTTATGAGTTGGGATTCCTAAACTGACAATAAGGAGAAAAATCAAACAGAAGCACCTGCTCCAGCCCATCATCCTCAGAAAGCTGCCCAGCTTCGCCATTCCCATGGATGGGGATCTCCATTGTGGCTGCCTTCCCTAGGATCCCGTCCGTCATGGCTAGGGAAGGGACTGGAGTCAATGTCTCCACCCCAGCGCCCTGCAAAGCCCAACACAAATAGTTAAGGAAACCGGCCAGAACTCTAGAAGAGAAAGGTCTCCCCTACTATTTCTGAGTTGTCAGAGGTTGTTCCAGGGCTTGAGTGTTCTGGTTTAGCTACCACTCTTTCCCTCAGGTAGCATATGTATCTCTCCCCTGCAAGGTGCATAGTTTTACACATGCACACCCTGGCCTTGGGTGTCTTCTCATGACCTTCCAACCCCATTAGGACTCCGGTGATCATTCATTAGAAATTTACTGAGTACCTACTATGTGCCATGCACTATTTGAGGCCATGGAAACGCATTAGTGAACAAAACAGGTAAAGTCTGTAGTCTCTTGGAGCTTATCCCCATGCAGGTGTTTCTCCCCATCAGGAGATGAAGCCCTTTCCAGGGCTCAAGGATGTCATGCACGGCTTGGCCTTTCACCCTCCTTTAGTGTTTCTTCCCTTTTTCTTCAAGTGATCTACCCCTCCTCCACCCTATGCACCTTCTCTTCCTCGGGCCCTTCCCACCAGGCCTTAATTGAATCAGTTGGTGTATGTTCTCAGCCTCTAGGAAAAGCCTGTTTTTCCCAGGACATAAGTGATCCCTTCCAAAGTCAGTTATACCTACCAGGTGTGTTTCCCTGCCCCCCCACCCCATACACCTGGGCATCAGGTGTGTCCTCATCCTTCCCTGGGCTCAGAGGTATCTTGCCCTCAGGGCTGGTGCATGCGTTCAACTTCCACTCGACCAAGTACGCCCCTCTCACCTCGGGCTGGGCGGCTCTTCCCCTCAGGGCGCCAGGCCCGGGCCGCGCGGGGACCTCCGGCTCCAGTTCCCGTCGCGGTCCTAGCAGCAGGTCAGGGATTCGGCGGAAGTGACGTCCGCACCCGGGCAGAAGAAGCCGGCCACGTCGCAGGTGATAAGGGCGGAAGTGACATTAAAGCTGGGGCAGGGCGACCCTTCAGTCCCCCGGGATCCGCGAGAGATTATTTCCGGGGCGTTACCAAGGCGCTGTAGCGGAAGTGAGGGCGGCTGCGTGCCTGTGCGGGATGGAGCAGCAGCAGCAGCAGCTGAGAAACGTGAGTAGCAGCCAAAAGTGGCTTCAGGGCCTCACATTCAGCCCGCATCGCCGTCTGCAGGCGGGGACCCCACCGAGCCAGGGGTCCCAGGGCTGGGGACATTGGGCTGTGGTGCGCGGTCATGGCAAACCCAGGGCGGCGCGGCCTTGGGTGGAGGTGTGGGCTCCCTTATCGCCGAGTCTCTGGTCCCCCTCTCTCCTAGTTGCGGGACTTCCTGTTGGTCTACAATCGGATGACGGAACTCTGCTTCCAGCGCTGCGTGCCCAGCCTGCACCACCGAGCTCTGGACGCCGAGGAGGTGGGGACAATCAACCGCGGACTGCTTTCCTGCTCCCCCACTTCCCTCACCTTTGGCGGAGGTCTTTCCATGACCCTCGCCCCTAGGCTGGGGATGAGAAGGAAGGAGACGGACCTGCCAGGACCCCTCTGCCCTTTACTCCCGCCCTGTCTTTCTTCCAGGAGGCCTGTTTGCACAGCTGTGCTGGGAAGCTGATCCATTCCAACCACCGCCTCATGGCCGCTTATGTGCAGCTCATGCCTGCCCTGGTACAGCGCCGCATCGCGGACTACGAGGCTGCCTCGGCTGTGCCCGGCGTTGCTGCTGAACAGCCCGGAAACTCACCAGCAGGCAGCTAGCCACCCCCAACCCCAGGAAGGGAGGCACTGGATGGACCCTCACATTGAAGGAGCCAGTGGACCTTGGGCTGCGTGCAGCCTTTAGGAGTTGACTGAGCGCTGGGTACTGTTGCTCCTTTTCCTGGAGCTAATAAACCCGCTTTTATTCTGCTTGGTTTATGTTCTGGGCAGGGAAGCTTTGTCCACTTTATTGGCACCATCCTTTATCTGTCAGTGCATATCTGCTGGCTTCAATCCTGGCAGCAGAGAAATTGCCTGCTGCCTGCAGAAGGAAAACCTCAGCATTCCTTTCCAGGCACCTAGTTAAAGCAAGGTCTGTGGGTACAATTTAAGGTTGGTAATAGCAACAGGAACGTGGCTCCTGGCCAGATGACAGAAAATGGGAGCTCTGTGTAGCTGTCATTAATTTAAACTTGTCTCACTTTAATGGCTCACTTGTGAGCCAGATATGCATTCATTCCTAACTTCTTTTTATTTATTTTTATTTTTGTGGACTGTGTCTTACAAGAAGGAATTCTGCCAGATTTAGGGAAAGGAGGAGATAGCTAAGGACATCAGATCAAGAAATCACAGGTTTTGCCCTGGCCAGTTTGGCTCCATGGTTAGAACCTTGGCCCAAGGACCAGACAGTTGCAGGTTTGATTCCGGTCAGGGGCACCTACCTCAGTTGAGGTTCGTCCACAGCCCTGATCTGGTCATTCGGGAGGCAACCAGTTGCTGTGTCTTCTCTTGCATCAGTGTTTCTCTCTTCCTCTCCCTCTGTCCTTCTCTCCCTCCCCCTCTCTCCCTCTCCCTCTCTCCCTCCTTCCCACTCTATCTAAAGATAAGTAGAAAAGTATCCTCAGGTGAGGATTAAAATATAAAAGAAATCACAGGTTTTTAGGGACTACCTCCTTATAAGTCAGTAGCTCCAGATAGATTAAACCTGTTAGAATTCTGGGTGTTCTGAAACTAACCATATCCCTAAGTTGTTACTTTCTTAGTATTTTTGATCTTCCTGAATGAGCCGTAAAACCTTTAAGCAAAGAAGTCTTTGTGCCGGTCTTCAGGGAGAGTCCAAAAAGGGAAGACTCGGGGGACCATATTCTGCAATATGGGCAAATTGAGAGAAAGAAACCCCCCAAAGAAGTAGATGGTGGTGGTTGTGGAAAAGAAGGGATAAAGGGAAATCTTTGGCATCTCTTTAATATTACCTTCATGTCTCACTGCTTATTTATAATCTCCTAATTCCAGCTCTTCCACTCTACCCCATGTTGTTCCCACTGTGCCTGTTCTGTGATTTCTAATTACAGCCTATCTGTTCTTTTTTATTGCCTCCCCGATGTGGAATTTACTTCTGCATTCAGCAGTGTGAATGACCTATCACTCCATCACATTTTCTTGCTGGTTTTGTGTCCTTTTGTATCATTCCAGCTATTTAATCTTTTCTGTTCCTCCATTCAAACTGCTAGAGAAAAACACAGCTGTGTAATGAATGCCACTAAGTATTTAAGGTTTCCAACCTCAACCAAGGCCTCATTACCAAAAAGCAACCCTTTGTGGGTTCCTGGTCTATTTGCTGTCTTTAATCACCATGGCAATTATACCTTCACTGCTCTCCTTAATCACCGTACCCTCAACTTCCCCATCAGGTGACCATGTTTCATTTTTTACAGAGGAAATGGGAGCTCTTAGACATTGGTTCCCTTAATAATAAAAATAACTTCTTACAACAGAGCACACAGTTTTCTCCCTTGTACAGCTCAGGAGGTTAAAATTCTCTAATAAGAGACCCTGTATTAAAATACAGATCTGACTCCAAAATTCATGTTCTTTTTACTCTACCAGTCTACCTCTCAAAATAATATCTATTGAGCCCCTACTTTATATAGGTTCTGGCATTGGTATATGTTATGTTTTACCTTAGTTAATCTTTATGACAAAAGTACAAGTAAGAGGTATTATCCCACACTTATCAGATGAGGAAATAAGAATCCAGAATGTACTAGAAGTTATCTTATGCACAGGGACCTACTGAAAAAAAGTGTCTCCAATTAGCTTTTTGCCTTTTTAGCTGCTATTTCTTGAACAAATTTTGAATAGAAAGGTTTATTAGAAAGTAACAGTTGCTGACCAGGAACTTCTTTACCAAGCGGCTTAATAGCTACCCAATAAAATTATTTCCTTGGAAAGTATAAATGCATGTAAAACAACTTGTGAACATCCCAATTTCCAGAGACAGGGAAATGGGGACCTGGGATATTCTGCTGGTAGAAGGATTTTTCCACATCAACATTTGTGGGTGTCCTTGAAACAAATTTCCATGTAATTAAACTTCCAGATGATTGTGAATTATCTGTGTTTCCATGTCTCGTAATCATTAATTACTGGAGAAGGGCTAGGAGAATACAAGTTCTTTGAACTTCCAGAGCTTCTGTCTGCTTACTCATCTGCACTAAACCTCTCCCCAAGCATGGAAAAACAAGTGTCCCTCAGTCTGATCCATCAATTAGTCTCTTTCTTAACTTTTCAACCTCTTCTGTCCTGGTTCTTTTCTCTCAATACTTTAAAGAACCTTATTGTTACCATCAATCTTCCAGCATCGCCAGAGTCTTCCCTCAGGTCTTGCCATTGGCATAATTAGCACATGTAATGTTTCAAGCACAACAGGAATAAATGTTGACAAAACTTTATCTCTTTACCACAGACACTGGAGTGAGGGTTAGGATTCCTGTCATTTCTGGCTTCAGAACATAACTGCCTCCTCTTTTGCAAAGTGATTCCTCTGAGGCTATTCAAGTGTACCACCCTCTCGTTATTTGTCCTTAGTAACGACTACTCTCCTATATTTCTCTAAGTAACTAGCCCTTGGTCTTCCTATCCAGTCACTGATACTTTTATGTTTACGTGGACACTTCATTCAATAATTTGGTCTTTTAGTTCTTTGACACAGTAATGATTTCCACTCTTTTAAACATCCATTCCCATAGTTATACCCTGGCCATTGTCTTCTCTCCAAACTGCTCTATCTTCAAAACACTATTTACTTAAATCTTTTTCACTGACCATATTCCTTCCACTTTGTTGAACTATTCCTCTACTATTATTCTTTGATTTCACGGGAGCAGTGAGGCCATTGCTTCTACTTTATCTTTAGATTCCTTCCAGCTTAAATTCTAGTGATTCTCTTAGAATAGACTGCATTTCTTTACCTCTCATCTTTTTTGGATGCTTAGATGAGACATTTGTCTCTGCATTTGGACAGCTAAAAGTTGTTCAAGGAAATCAGTATAAAGCAGATTTATATAATTATGAATCTAGTTACCATAGATGTCTGAGCCCCTATAATCCCACTGGATTTTTCCAGTTATCTCCTGCTTGCTGCAATGAGTATTTCAAACGAATATTCTTAAGCCTCTTACTAGCCCTGCCTCCCCACCACCATCATTTTCTTCAATTTCTGCAAATACATATTTCCTCCTAGACCAAAAGTAGAAGCTGTCAGTTGAGAACTTGCACATCTGGTCACCCACCTACATTTGCATCTTTCTTTGTCCTGTCTAAACAGGTCCAGCATTCTTTGTAAGGCCGATGCCTATACATGTGCCCTGAATTCTAGTCCTTTGGGCATCTGAGTTTTTCCCAATTTCCTAAATTCTCATTAGTGTTTAAACATGCTAAAGACTCCCCTGTTAGAAAAACAAACCACTCTAGCTCATTTTCCCTCCAGCTACCATCCTTTTTTTTTTTTTTTTACTTTATATGGAAAACAGTTGGATACTTTGGCCCTCGCCATCCCATTCCTCCACTCAGTCTGTTTTGACTTCTACAAACTTTATTCTATGGAAATGATTCTTACTGAGGTCACACTGGCTCACCAAGTGATCTTCAGATTCTTAAATCCAGTGGTTATTTCCCAGGCCTCGGCTTACTTCACTTTTCAGTAGCCTCTGGTAGTATTGACCAGTTTTTAATCAACAGTCTTCCACCAGTATCTGCAGTTCCACTCACATAGTATTATTACTACCTCTTTGGCCACAGCTTTTTTGCAGGCTCACCCACCTCCAGGCTTTGAAAGTTTCTCTAGGCCCTGTTTTTTCTCAGTCTATTTTTTCTAGGATTGTTTCATCCCCACTCTGAGCTTTGGTTACTGATGACTCCCAGATCTCTCCTCTGAGCCACTTCATTGACCTTTCCACTTTAGTGTCTTAAAAACATCCCACCTCAACATGTTTCCTCATAAACCTTCCTCCTATGCCTGGATGAAAGTACTCATCTAGTTGCAGAAGCTAGAAACCTCACTCATCCCTGCACTTAACTGCCAAATCCCATTAGTTTACATTTCTAAATATCCCTGGTTCTGTCTGCTTGTCCATCTTCACAATCTCTCACCAGGATTATCACAATTGCTACTGCTTCTCGTGTCCACTTGAGCATCCCTCCAACCTGTTCTTCCTTCGTAGACCAGAAAACACAAACTGATGCTTAAAACTTGGCAACAGCTTTGCATTCTTAGGATAAAAACTGAAATTCTGCACATAAATTACAAGGCCCTGCGTGATCCATGCTCTGCCTACCGCAGCTGTATCTTATCAATGACTCAAACACTGGACTGTCAATACTGTTTGTTGAATTGAACTGAATCACACCTCCTTCTCTTCCTCTCTGCTCTAACCACACTAGCCTTTTGTTGTTGCTGTTAATCCTAACCTGAGGATATTTTTCCATTGACTTTTAAATAGGGTAGAAGGGAAGGAGGGAAAGAGAAAGAGAGAGAGAAACATCCATATGAGAGGGACGCATTGATTAGTTTTTTCCAGCACAATCCCAACTGGGGCTGGGATCAAACCTGCAACACAGGTACCTGCCCTTGACCAGGAATTGAATCTGTGCCTCTTCAGTCCTCAGGCCAACACTTGGACTGCTGAGCCAAATTGGCCAGGGCCACACTAGTCTTTTGATTCCTCTAACCTGTCATACACTTCCATCTCAAGGCCTTTGTACCTGCTGTTTCCTGGCTTGCAATGTTTTCCCTCTACCTACCAAACTACTCATTCATTCATGAGTACTTAGTTCAAATACTTTTTCCTCAAAGAGCTCCCATAATTCTTCATGTTCTTTGGCATGTAGCACTTCCAATAATTGCTCATGAGGTCAGAGTCCATATTTGTATTGCTCACCATTGCATTCTTATCACAGTGCCTGGCATATAATATGTGCTTGATAAATATTTGTTGAATGAACATCTTTGAGTCTCCTCCCAGTTCAATCTACTATTCATAATAACAAAAAGAAGATTTGTAATTTAAAGAGACAGAAGCGAATCTGTACTTAACCTCTGCTCTGTTTTTTTCCACAGTGCTATCACATAGTTGACTTATTCTGTGTATTATTTATTACTGTGTCCTCCACTGGAATGTAAGCTCCATAATTCAGTTTTTGTCAGTGTTATCATTTTGTACACTGATGTCACCACCTAAAATGGTGTCTAGCATAGATGCTTAGTACATATTTGTTGGTTGGATAATGGCAAGAGAGAATAGTTACAGAGCAAAAGTCTAGAGCTTGGCTTTAGAGAGGGAAGGAGCACCTCTTATTGGTAACAGGAAGTGGTGATGAATGGATGAAAGCAGATTTAAGTAGTGTTTTTATATGGTTACAGGAGATTGAGAGAGTTCCTTTAAAAAAGCATGTGTAATGGTTAGTTTTATTTGTCAACTTGGCTAGGTTACAGTACCATTATTTAATCAAACACTATTCTATGTATTGCTGTGAAGGTATTTTATAGATGTGGTTAACATCTACAATTGGTTGACTTTAAACAAACAAACAAACAAACAAACAAAATTTACCCTCAATAATGTAGGTGGGCTTCATTTAATCAGTTGAAGGTCATAAGAGCAAAAACTAAGATTTCCCTGAGAAGAAATTGTGCCTCAAGACTGAGGCATTAACTCCTGCCTGAGTTTCTAGCATGCTGACTTACCCTACAGATTTCGGACTTGCCAGCCCCAAACAAACATTTGAGCCAGTTCCTTAAAATAAATCTCTTTATGTGTATATACCTGTATCCTATTGGTTCTGTTTCTCTGGAAAACCCTGATTAATATAGCATCTGTTTTTGTGGTTGTTGTTTTTAAATAGGAGGTGAAATTATCAAAGAGTAAAGTACAAGAAAAAGGAAGATGAGAGAGTATAGGAGGTTTGAAATAGTCTTCACAGAATGGAAGAGTGAACTGGCAATAGAAACAATTAGATTTTTATGTGATGTTGAGGGCTCAGAATTCCCTTCTGTCTTTGTCTGTCTGGAAAACCACTGTCATAAGGCCTTATCCTTTAAGGCCTACTGTGACTCTGTGACTCTGTCCTTTCTGGGAAGGGTTGCCCATACCCTTATTTATGCCATCACTGAATCCTCTTAAGGCTTGTTCACCATTATGTCAACAGAGTGGCGTAAACAACAATAAAAACACATATCAATTACATCAAGTGCTTATTATCCACCAGGCTCTATTCTGAGAATTTTATATACAGTAATTCATTTAGCCTCACAACAATCCTACAAAGTAGATACTATTATTATTATCTTCATTTAACAACAACAACAAAAATGAAACAGGTAAATTATCCCACAACTAGTAAGTGGTGGAATCAGGGTTCAGTCCAGGTAGTCTGACTCGAATCTGTCCTTTCTTACTTGTGAAGACTGCTATACATTTACACATTTGTTCCACAAATATTTTCTGATCACTTACTCATGGGGCCTTGCACAGGGGCTGGGGAGAGAGCAGAGAGCAATCAGAATCTGCCTCCATGGAGCTTATGTTTCTAGTCAAGGGAATCAGAAATAAGCAACTAAATATTTATATGAGATGGTAATAAGTGCTATAAAGAAAAATAATGCAGAGTAAGAAGGATAAGGAAGGTGGGAAGAGTTGCTATTTTATATTGGGTGGCCAGAGAAGAACTCAGTAATGTGGTCTCTGAGCAGAGACTTGAAAGGAGGGAGTAAGCTTTGTGTACATCTGGACGAAGAGTGTTCACTGTAGTTTAAGCCTCTAGTTGTCCCCCAGCATCCATTGTCCCTTTTCTTTACTAATAGAACCCCTGACTTTTATCTAGACACATGACCACTGAAAATAAAGATTATTTTGCAGCTTTCCTTGAAGCTAGGTGTGTCTATGTGACCACGTGATGTGTGCATTGCCTTAAAAGTAAGAGTATGCTTTCTCCTTTCTCTTTTCCCCCATCTCACTAGTTGGGATGGGACCTAGCAGACATGGTGTAAACTCTCTTGGACCTTGAAGACCAGGACCACTTCCTTGGAGAAGGCAGAACAACTAAAGGGCTAACATGTTAGTCCTGGAGTGATTATACTTGGATAGTTATATGAGAGAAAAAATAAACTTCTATCATGTTTAAGTCATTGTATTTTTTGGTCTTTTTGTTATTATAGTATATGTGTATACTATAGGAAGAATTTTAAGATTGTTTCTAAGATTTCCCAACCCCTGTGTACACACCCTACATAATCCCTAAGACTGCGAATATGATAGATTTTATTTCTGAAATTAGGTTATATAGCATACTTGACTGTAAGGGAGATTATCTGGTGGTCCTAGCCGAATCACATGAACTTTTTAAGAGCAGGAAGTTTTCTCTGGCTGATTGCAGAAGAGAACAAAAGAAAGATTTGAAGCATGAGAAGGGTCTGAAGAACTGTTTCTGGCTTAAAGATGGAGGAGCCATTTAGCAAGGAAGGCTGTGGCCTCTAGGACTTGAGAGTGTCCCCTGGCTAATGGCCAGGAAGGAACTAGGGACCTCAGTCCTACAAGCACAAGGAATTAAATCTTGTCAACAACAGGAATGAACTTGGAAGAGGATTTTCCCCCATAGCCTCCAGACAAGAACCCAGCCCAGCCAACACCTTGATTTCAGGACCACAATACCCTGAACAGAGAACCCAGTCAAGCCATGTTGGACATTGATCTACAGAACTGTGAGATACTAAATGTATTGTTTTTAAGCTGCTTAGTTTGTGGCAATTTATTACACAGCCACAGAGATGTACTAGGCTCTGAAGTGGGAGCCTGCTTGGTGTGATCCAGGCACAGCCAGAGTCGAGTGAATGTGGAGAGCAGGACAGATAGCCATTTGTGGACCATCATAGAACTTCCGCTTTTGTCTGAAAGAATGAGATGAGGCATTTGTGAGTTTTGTGCAGAGGAATGACAGGATCTGCCCATATTTGAAAAGGGTCACTGGCTGCTCTGCAAAGAGCAAATTGTAGGGTCAAGGGTAGAAGCAGAGAGACAGTTAGAAAACTGTGGAATAACCAAGGTGAGGGGTGATAGTGGCTTAGACCAAGGCTGTAGCCTTTAAACTGGTGAGAAGTAGTTGGATTATGGATATATTTTGAAGCTAGAGCCAACAGAATTTGCTGAAGGATAGGACATGGGATGTGAGAATGGGAGGGGTAGGGAGGGAGAGAAGTTAAAGGTGACTCCAAGTTTTAATCTGAGTAACTGGAAAAACTGGCTTGCCATTTACTGAGATGGGGGAGACAGTGGAAGCAGCAGGTTTCTTTGGGGCAGGGTGGGACAGGTAGGAGTCTGGTTTGGGACATTTTAAGTTTTCAAGTTTGAGATACTCATCAGATATCCAAATGGAGGCATTAAATAAGCAGTTGGATATGCAGATCTAGGTTTCACAGCCCAGGTGGGACTATTATATGCTGAATTTCTATTTTTGTTTTAATCGTTCAACCCCACCCCCCGATTTTGAGCTTCTTGTGATCAAGAATTTTGCAGGCCGGTGTGGCTCATTGGTTGAGCACTTACCAATGCACCAAGAGGTCGCCGGTTCCATTCTCGGTCAGGCACATACCCAGGTTGTGGGCCGATCCCCAGTGGAGGGCATACAGAAGGTAGCCAGTCGATGTTCCCTCTCATCGATGTTTCTATCTCTCCTCTCATTTCCTCTCTCTGTAAAATCAATAAATAAATAAAATTTTTTTTTAATAAATAAAAGAATTTGTCTTATTAAAGGTTGGGGAGGGGTGAGATGGGGGAGGTGGGTATGTGTGTGGCAGGAGTGGGGGAGGGCGAAGTGGTCTCAGTGACAGGTCGTTGGTGCCTGGCGCTAGCCTTGCGGCTCAGTGAATGGATAAACAGGTGCAAGGACTACACCTGCCCACGGAGCCCTCAGGATTGCTACTTCCCTTAATCAACCTTGTCCTTGTTACTCAGTGCGGGCCACGCTGACCGGTATTCCCAAGGTGTGTAGGCAGCCTGCAGGCACGTTCGGCCTGGCCCCGCCCCCCGTCTCTACGGGCATCTGACCCCGCCCCTGGCCCCGCCCCTTACTGGCTCACCGCGGGTGCTCCAGGCGGCAGCCTGAGCCTCCCTGGAGGCGTCAAGTAACCGTTCTAACAGCTGGGAGGGGGTGGAGTGCGTGCGTCCATAGCGCCCCATTCGCTACCCTTCGCCTTGTGGGACCACTCTAGCTGTTGCTCCCTGGAAGGTCCTCTCCTCCTACGCTCCCAAGATCCCTCCTTCCTCCTCTTTCTAACTCCTCCTCCTGCTAGCCCCTCCGCCCATCCTGACAAGTGTGCTCTATGGCCACTCCTGCTTGCTGCCCTCAACAGCCCCTTCAGCCCGCCTGCAGATAGGACTGGGGCTTTGCTGCCTCTGAGTCGCGCCTGTTCCTGCCTGTTCCTCGTTCACACGGTCGGTCGCCAGGCTCCACTCCCGGGGACGGTTCCTCACTGTTATGGAGGTTCTCTGAGTCGTTTTCCGTGTGTGTAGCAGTTTGCCTCTGCAGTGGTCTGTCTGCCCGTCTCTCTGAGTGTGGGTGGCTGTGTGCAGAGTGAGTCTGTGCCTAGGACCCAAGTCTAAGTTAGCCCATTTCCCAACAGGTGCTCCTTGATGAAACCTCATCGCCAGATCCCTCTCTCTCCCCTTCCCTTGCCTCCTGCACCCCTTAGGCCAGGTGAGGGGGACAGTATCCTGGGTGATGGGAAGGAACTTGTGCACGGGAGGGCCCCCACTTCTGTCCTGGGTGGGTTTCTTACCAGTCTTTGGGGAGGCTATAGGTAAGGTTAAGGGTCCCAGGAAAGGCCTTGTGCTGATTTGGCTCTGCCCAGCAGATCCCATTTCTCTGTCTTAAGTCCCTCCCTTCTTCTTTCCTCCAACCCTTTTGAGCCCGACCATCCCCTGACCAGCGTCTAAGGCCCCTCTCTTGCTTCTTTCCTGGGCTGGGCCAAACAGATGTGGCTCGGCAGCCAGGAGCCTGGAATTGGCAGTCGGACCCTGAGCAGTGGGCAAGGTCGGTTCGCCAGCAGTTGAATACCCTGCTCCCCTTGGTCTCCCAGACAAGGGAGGGCTCATCTCCTGAAGAGGAATCATCTGGTGCCCTTGAGTCTCAGCACCATCACAGGAAACAGAGTCACTTCCTGAAGGCAGTAACTGAGTTACTACCAAGGCTGAAGCTCCTGGTAGCTGAGCTCCAAACTCTGTTCTTAGCTGTGCTGCAGGACAGCAGCCCTGCAGCCTGGCACTACCTGCATTCAGTGCTGCAGCTGCTCCGTCCATATCGTGCCTGGCTGAGCGGCCACCTTGATTTGCTGCCCTTCCTGGGACAGTTGTACCACTGGGCACCCTGGGTCCAATCCCAGCTCCAGCTGGACCTGCTAGATGCCATAGACCAGGTCTTTCCCCCAGACACCTCTTTGTTAGAGAGCACCTCCCATGTCGACTGCTGTCTTCAGAACCAGAGGTCCCAGCAGGGGCCCCCACTCCCAGCATGCCCTTTCGTGCAGGCCCGGAGCAGTGGGCAGCAAGGAGGGGAGGATTTGGCCACATGGCTGCGACCACTGACTCTGCCTGAGCTACAGCGCAGCCTGGGTATTGTTGGTGTCCAGGTGGCTCTGAAAGAGGCCCGGTGGCAAGATGGCTTTAGCCTCCTGCCCTTGGCGCTGGCAGCGGACATCCCTGTACAGTATGAAAGCAGTGGCGCTGACGGCGCAGAGGAGGAGCCTGTTGGAAGAAGAAAGACTGAGTAAGTGAGGGGCCCAGTCTGGGGTTTTGAGCAGAGGAGAGAAAGAAGCCAGTTTATGGGTGCCTCCTGGGTCATCTGGTTGTCTAAAACCAACTCTCTATTGATTTTAGGGATTAGCCTCACCCCAAACCAAGATGGTATAAAGCTGCTCCTCTCTTCCTTTTTCTTCAAAATTAACCCAGTGGTCTGAGTGTTAAGTCTCACAGGGAAATGCAGAAATTAATGAAAATCAAGTCAGCTCTGAGGAAGCCAAAGCTTCAGAAGACGTCTTGAGTTTCCCGTTTCCAGATTTCTTTCTCAGATGGTGCTGGAAGCCTCCTTAGTTCTTTTCCTCACTCCATAATCCCTGAGGCTTGTCTCTGGGCTGACCTAGTGCTGGGTTCTGGATGCTGAGTACAGGTCTTTTCCTTGGGATGCTTCTAGCTGAGTGCTTATCTAAGGGCCTTCCCACCTATATCATTGTGAACTAAGCCAGCTTTAAGGCAGCTTAGAGTTGCCAGCAGTGCCGGAGGGAACTTTCATTCTGATCCTTCCAGGGTCTTGCTCTAGCTTTGCCAGTGTGGGTATCCTGGCCCCTCTAGTGAAGATGCCCCCGCCCCCATCAGGCTCTCCTTGTTTTCTTCAGGATTTCAGAATGCCAACAGAGACCTCCTCTTCTGAGAGTTCTCTAACTCTAGTCTTGGAAACCTCCCTCCTCTCTGGGTTGATTTTCTAAGTAGCTTGCAGCTTGTCTTTGACACATTCACTATCTGGGAAGAAGGGTGGTTTTACCTGTAATCAAGCTCGACTTTGTTAGTTTTTGCTAGAAGTTAATGGCTGGGTCAAGTTTTCTCTGAAGCCTTGGAGCCCTAATGGTGGACAGTTAGGCAGGCTCCTGGGGGCCCTGATGGCAGGTGGCCAGTGCTAACAATGTATGCTTCAATAACCCCAGCTGACTTCCTTTTACACTGAGCTCTGAGTGTAAGTTTCCTTTCCTGGGGTCACTCCACTGAAGTGAAAATGGGTTGAGATGTTGGGAAGGGGTCATGTTTTCTTGGTGCTCTCTTTGGACCTGGTGGTAAACCTCTGAGGCCTAGTGAATGTGGCTTAATTTGCATGAACTTTTCCAGGACTGGTCTCCCAGGCATTCATTCTTTCAGTAAGTATTATTGGATACTTAATATATATCAGGAACTGCTAGATGCTGAGGATACAAAAGTGAACAAGACAGACTCAATCCCTTCCCTTGGGTTTTACAGCTTAGTTAGGGAGACAAATGTTAAATAGGTTGATACAAGTAACATAATTACAAATTGTGCTAAGCAGCTATAAAATTAAGAACACTGCCTTTCCCCGGGCTGCTGCTCTGGTGTGTGTGTATAAAGTTAGAGGAAAGCACCTCAGAGGGGTTTGGGTTTTGGTTAGAGTCAAAATATCTCGCAGTTTAGGAGGTGAAATAAGAGCAGAGTTTCAAGGAGGAGGGAGCAGTCAGTATTGTTAAATGCTGTTGAGGTAAGTAAGAAAAACCTGGAAAATGTTCATTGGGTTTAGCAACAGGGAGGTGGTTGGTGAGAGGGGTTTCAGTGTTGTGTGAGGAGGAAGCTAGTCTGTAGTGTATTCAGAAGTGAACGGGAGATGAAGTAGAAATTATGTTTTACTATTCTTTCATGAAGCTTGGCTTGAAAGGGACAGAGATATAGTCAGATAGCAGATTAAAAGAATAGTGGTGTCTGGGCAGAACTCTTTTAAAAAAAAAGGTTTGAGAGAAGTTCATAGCTCTTAAGACAGTACTTGAGAAATGAGTGTTCAATAAACATATGTAGAGTGAATGAATAAATATAGGCTAATGGTAAGGAGAATAGATAGAAAATTCCTCATGAAGAGGGGATAGGGATCCAGAGCACAAAAGGAAGGATTAGCCTTGTAGAGAAGAAAGGACACTCCTTCCTCTCAAATTGGGGCACAAGATTAGGATGGGAGTAAGTACAGATACATATGCGAGAAGGCAGCTGAACTTGAGGGAGTTTGTTCATGTCTGAGAGCCTCAGTTTTCTCTGGGCAGAGAAGGGAGAGGACTAGGCAGGGTTGGGCATGGGGTGGGGGTTGGTGGAGGCCTGGATAGCAGCTGAGGACACTGAAAAAGAAAGCTACCTGAGGACTGGTACTAAGACATTGGAGCAGAGTGAGCCCACAGTTGAGAATGGACAAACACCAGAAATCTAGAGAGGAGCCAATATTCCTGGTTCTGCAAGCTGAACCTACTTAGATCACATAGGACTTGAATTGTTAAGAAAATGAACCTTTAATAGCAGTTACACCATTACCATGTCCCGATCCAACATCAAAGTCATAAACCCTATAGTTGGTGTGAACTTTACAATAAGATTGTACTATTATCCCCTGGTAACTTGTTCTGTTGATTAATGTTAGGATCAGTTAATGACACTGGTATACTTTGGTTAAGTCTAAGTTTAATTATTCAGAGGATTGTGTGTGTGTGTGTATTTGTGTGTGTGTGTGTGTGTGTGTACACTCTGCGGTCACTCCAACCAAACTTATTAGTCCAGGCAATTAACATTTTGTCTCTTGGATAATTCCTTTTGATGTCCATTTTGTTGACTGGTGAGGTAGAAGTGTAGTGGTAGAAGTGTAAGAAGGTGGAGGGGTTAAAGGGTGCACCACTGGATCCTGGCTGGAAAGGAAAGGGTGGGAAACTAGAGGTTGGGTGATAACAGGGAAGAGTCACAGGCATGGAGATCATGCAGGATTGGAAGCGGGTATAATGAGAGCAGAGCTACGAGATCTAGAAGGTTAGAAGTTGCCGGAGAGGAGAAATCCAGGACTGTGGACTTGCAACATGATGAGTTGGGAAAATAAAAGTATTCCTATCACTTTTACTCAGTATTACATAATACTTACTTCCCAGTAATTACAGTCAATCCAGAATGACTAGTCACTTGTTAGAAAGGAGGGAGTTGTCCATGCACATGTCTGTGTGAACATAGCTACATGGCTGTGCTTTTTGTATATATATATAAAATTGATTTTAGAGAGAGAGGAAAGGAGAGGGAGAGAGTGACAGAAACATCGACGAGAGGGAATAACAACTGGTCACCTCTTGCATGCCCCACACTGGGGACCCTGCCCACAACCAGGGCATATGCCCTGACTGGGAATCGAACCTGCGACCTGTTGGTGCATGGGTCGACACTCAATCACTGAGCCACACTGGCCGGGCTGCCTGGCTGTGTTGTGCCATGGATGGCATTTGCTTGTATAGGAGGTAAAAGGCTCTGTCAGCACCACAGAGGTCCTCTTAGGCACCTGACCTGGCTCCTCTCAATGGCCAATAGTGGCAACCTGACCTCTTTGCTCTGCCCTATCTCTCCTGATTTTTTTCATGAAGGTCTCAGCTTGACTCTGAAGTTTCTAGAAAGAAGACCTTCCAAAAGAGCAGCAGTGGCTTCTTCCCTCCGACTTCCCTCCCGGGTAGCCAGGCAATGACCATTCTGAAGACAGAGAGATACCTGAAGAAGATCCACTTCATCTACCTCAATGTGGCTCCTAGTCGGTACTTTAGGTAAGAGTCGAAATGTAGGCCTCTTCTCTTTCCTCTCCCTGACTTCCTCCCATTCTATCTCTCCCCCCATCTCCTCGCCATCCTCATTCCTCACCTGTGTTTTCTCCTCTTCCCTCTCATTTCTCATCTGTCTCCCAGTTTCCCTCCCTCTTCCCTTCACCTCAGCCTCACAGCCTTTTGTCTTAGCCATCCTCTTCTACTTTTTGCTCTATCTTCTTTATTCTTTTTTTAAAAGTATGTTTTTACTGATTTTTTTAGAGAGAGAGGAAGGGAGAGAGAGATAGAAACATCAATGTGAAAGAGAAACATCTATCAGCTGCTTCCTGCACACCCCCTACTGGGGATTGAGCCTGAAATCTGAAATCCGGGCCTGTGCCCTGACCAGGAGTTGAACCGGGACCTCTTAGTCCATGGGACGATGCTCTATCCATTTAGCCACACCAGCTGGGTTGTCTTCTTTATTCTATCCTAGAACTATAGAAACATTTGGTCATTACCGCAGAATGGCAAACTCTCCCAACTCCAATGCATGAATCAGGTGCCTGTTTAAATCTTTACAGTGTCAGGAAAGTTTTGTGTTTCCCAACGCATCCTGTTCCTTAGACTGAACCAACATTGGCTCTCTTTTATTCTAGTTTTATATCTGGGGTCATAAAAACAAGTCTCCTCCTCCAACATGACTCAAGAGGCATTCATTGACTTTCTTTAATTAGGTTCAATACTTGCATATTTTCAAAAACCCTATTCAAGTCTCATCTCTTCCTGAAGTAATAATAATAATTTCTATTCATCAATCTTTCCCGTGTACCAGGCATTAGGCTAATAAAGACATGAGATGTGTTATTTAATTCTCACCTACCAGGTAGGTGCTGTTACTATTTCCATATATAAGATGAGTAGACTGATGCATAGAGAGGTTAAGGGACTTGTCCAAAGTCACGTAGTTGGTGGAAACAGGACTTAAACCATCTCAATTCAGAAGTCCATGCTTTTAAGCAGTATCTGATACACTCTCCCAGAGAGCTTTATTTTCTGTATGCACTGATCTCTTTTTCCTGGGCTTAGGTAGCACTATGGAACATCCCTTCATTTACCAAGTCATTTAACAAACTCACTGAGAGCACTGTGCCAGTTATTAAGCAACTGTGTCTTGGTTCTAATTTTACTCTTCTGTCTCTGCTTTGTAATACTTGGGCTGAGACTGAGAATTTCATTTCTCATTTTTCAGCTGGCCTCCTGTTAGGCTTGATGACTAGGGGGTGCTAGAAGGAGACTAGGCAGCTGGATACGAGGAGAAGGGGCTTTCTCCTTTCTTTGCTTGCTCTTCCTGTCAGCATGGTCCCAGAAGGGGTCCTTCATCCTGGCAGCAGCAGGCACATTTCTGAATCAGCCTCTTCATGATTCTAAGAGGTACTAACGCCAGCCAGCCAGGTCACACCTTCCCATCAGAATTCTGAGTCTCAACTCTGCAAGGCTCCTCCTCCAAAATCCTTAGGTACTGGTAGCAGCCAGGAAATACCACCTTAGAAATTCCAACTCTACAATCCCTCCTCCAAGCTCATAGCGACTAAGAACCCCAACCTCTTCCCTTTGTCCTTCTAGTCCCAGGGCTGGTAGTTATCTCTGTGCTACCTTAGTGCTCCCTTTTTGCTTTCTCAGTCCCCTGATACCTTTTAAAAACCACATTCTGTCTATTGAATTCACTTTGTTGTAATGCCTGCTGTGGTTTCGGTTTTCTTGACTGGACCCTGACTGATACAGTACTTGGTATCATGAGTAGTCCCAGGCAACGAGCCTCAAATATGGGATTCTGATGTTGGTCTGGTAATGTCCTTGACCTTGAACATTACTGAGCTCCTTGCTAATGGGAAATAGGATACTAGTAATCCATGACATGTAGTGCCTGCCATCACAAATAATTAAATTACCACTTTTGGTGGAATGTGATGAGCTACCTACTGCCACCTAGTGGCTGCTACGCTGGACTGTCTGGCAGTTAGGGTAGTAATGTCAGCAGTGTGGGATGAGATGCCAATTGACCGTGGTGGAAAATTGTGAGCTTAGGACTTTAAATGATCAGCGCAGTTACAATTAGAGAAGCAGCACCATCAAAGATAATTAGGCACATAAGCCAGAAACCATGAGCAAGAGAACTGAAAGGGCAGTGAATAATCACAGGGCCGGCGTCTGCCAAGGAAGGAACCCAGTGAAGTGAGTTTCATGTTTGGTGCCTCTTTTCCCCAAACGGGCGCCTGATGATCCCGGTGGAGGCAGTTGTGTGTCCGTTTTGCTCTAAGCTCCCAAATGACCGACCGAGAGGAGGAGCTGAGCTGTCGACAGCCTCGGAGCAGAAGCGGTGGAAGTTGCCGCGGCTCCACAGCAAGGACGGAGGTGTCCTCTGGTTAGTATTCGTTGTAACTAGGGTCCCAATCCGAAGCCCAGGAGATTTAATTTGTGGGTTCTCTGGTAGGTTCATACAGATGAGTTTCACATCTTATCCAGATATTCTGCCCAGTTTTTTCTAGTTGTTCTCAAGTGGGAGTGTTGGTCCAAATTTCTAGCACACCATCAGCAGAAGTAGAATCCTGGCATTTGTGGTTTCATTTTATTTGTCATATAACAGGTTTTTTCCCCCGCAATGTGTTTGAATTTATTTATTTATTTTAGTTTTTGTTTTCCATTTTTATTAATTTTTTTTGTTACAGATGTTTTTCCTTTCCCCCTAGACACTCTCCTTCCTATCCCGCCTCCCACCCCACCCCCAGTGTTTGAATTTATTAATTTGTTGTATATTTGTCCTAGATTTTGATTCACATTTACAGAGGAATTTGTTCCTTCACTTCCCTAGAGTGTTTGCTCCACGATCTCCTCCCCACTCTACTGCCCCACTTAAACTTGCATTCCGCCCCCCCCCCCCCACTGCCATCTCCCTTTTCCTGCCCCCCCCCCACCCCCTATTTATTAGGTTTATCCTCTTCTCCCATGGAATGAGAGCTCTGTCAGAGCAGGGGTTTTTGTTTGTAATGTTCAGCAATGTGTCCTCAAGGTTTAGGACAGTTTAACATAGAGTACAAAGCCAGTAACATTTGTTGAATAAATGAATGAATTACCCAAAGTAGGAACATATTTGGAGTATAGACCTTGCTGTGTTTCAGGTACATGCAAGACAGAGACTGAGATGTTCTGGAAGCAGTTGAGTAGATGGGTCTGGGACTCGGAAAGATCTTGACTTGCCCCGTTTACTCTCTAGCATCACTTAATACTCCAGTTGATCTGAGTTGTTTGAGGGCAAGGACTATGTAGTAAATTTTATGTCCTCATCTCCAATCACAGTACTTGGAAAGAAGGGGAACTTGATAAGTGGTTTAACTAAACTCCATGACATCAGGGACTGGATTTGTTGTGTTCATTACTGTATGCTCAATGCCTGACACAGAGCTTGGCTTAATAAACATTTATAGAATGAGTGAATATCTCCCCAAAGGAGCAGTGGCCATTGGGAGTGAGGAAGTACTCCCTAATTTCTGGCCCTGTGCAGAAAGGGCAGCCTTGACTAAGAAAGTCATAGGGACAGGAGTGTCCCCTTGGGAGGTCCAGGGCTCACTAGGGTAGGTAGCCAGCCTGTGGGAAGCTAAATGGCCCAGTAGTTAAGAGAGGAGGCTTCAGTCAGGTAGATTTGGTTTTAAATCCTATATTCTTCCCTTAACTGCGTTAGGCAAAGTTATGACTTCTCTTAGTTTAGTTTTTTCATCTGTAATCTGGGGATAAAAGTACTTGAAAGATCTAGTTACTTTGTCAGACATAAAGTTTCTGTGTGACTTAACTTAGTGAGTTCATTCTGTAATATATCTGAACACTCTTAAGTCATTTTCTCAATAATGTATTCTAGAGCCCTGGTTTGTTTGGGTCAGCAGTTAGAGCATTGGCCTATGAACCGATGGGTCGTGGGTTCAATTCCCACTCAAGGGCATGTACCTGGGTTGTAGATTCGATCCCTTGCTCTGGTTGGGGTTGTGAGGGAGATGGACACATTGATATTTCTCTCTCTCTCTCTCTCTCTCTCTCCCCCCCCTTTTTCCCTCCCTCCCTCCCTTCTACTCTATCTAAAAATCAATGGGAAAATATCCTCCAGCAAGGATTAACAAAAGTAAATAAATAAATAAAATGCAAGTTTCTGGGAGGGAAATATTTTTAAAAGGGAAAAAAGAACTTTAAAAAGATAATGTATTCTAGAAAGCTGAGAGAGATAAAAGATAGAGGAGGACCATTATATCTTTTAGACATTATAGGCATAGGACCTAGGTAGGACAGAGCTTTCCAAGGGCATAAAGATATATTCAGTGCTTCAGAATATTACTGGCTATAAGTTATGAAAAGAAAACTACAGAGTAAGAATTAATAAATGCTTAATTCAGTGTGCCCAAACCTAGCATGATGCTAACTAGTTTACTGCTGCAAGATACAACTATTATATAGCTGCTTGTAAACTGCATCTCATGTGAAATGCAGGTGCATTTCTCTGAAGCACAAGGATTTAGTTGGATGGCTCTGGAGGTGCCTTGTTCACGAGGTGGCAGTGTCCCTCTCTGGCCTGTGTGTAGACTTCGTGTTGCCTCTTGCTTTTCCCCATTCTCAGTTATTCCAGGTGGCATTCTCTGATTACCGCTGATGCTATTTCAGTGTCTAGAGATGTATATATTTTATCATTTCCAAGATGCACCTTTTTTTTTTTTCCACATTTCAACATCTCTGAAACTGTGATGTATCTTACAGGTCGATGGAGTATCATATTGGCAGCACTTTTTATTTTAGTGTTTCATTTAAAAAATTCTGCCTCTTATAACTAATGGCAGTCTTTGATTTATAATGGGATGTAGGATAGCTAGGTCTGGAGATATGAACCTCTTGGAACTGGCTGGGGGTCTTTTTCTTTCTCTCAACCTATCCTTGGCTTCGATTTCTTCTTAATAACATTTGCTCCATCTTTCTATTTTGAAGATCATTCTGCTCTTTATCCCCTTCTTCCCACTTTCCACTGCTTTCTTTCTTTCCTCCTTTTTTTTTTTTTTTTTTTTTTAATCTCCTCTCCCTTCTTTTGTCCGTTCCTAAAGTCTGCACAAGTTCCCAGGGCTCCCATTGATCAGAGCCCCTTTTTAAAGGCCCTACAGCCTGGTGGTGGTGCCACTAAGCAAGGTGAATCCTGAGCACTACATCTTCTCTCCCTTTGGGGTCCTGCATATACATCCCGCGGAGGACACTGAAGCAATGACGCTGGGCACCTGGCACCGCCACTCTGTCCTCTGGCAACAGCTCCAGTTCATTCCGTTCTTCAAGTACTGCCTCTTGCGCAAGGCCTGGGCCCGGTAGGTGACGATGTGTGTGGATCTGGGGAAGCACTGCAGAGAGCAAGCTGCATGTCCTCACTGCCCTCTGCTCTGTAGCTGGAAGAAGAGCATGAAGTCTCAGGGGCTGCACCGCTGCCGGGCTTTCCTGGGCAGGCACCTGCTGTCTGCTGTGCCCCACTTTGGAGTGGCGCTGCTCCATATCAGCAGGTGAGAAGTTTTCAGAACACAGCTTCTGTGGAGTTTTAAAAATCATTTTTATAAAAAGTAATAACATATTTCTTGTAGAAAATTTAGAAAATGCAAAGAAGCACAAAGGGAAAACAGTGTCAATCCTTCCACCCACAAGTCACCACTATGAACATTCTGTTGCATATCCCTCTGTCTTTTTTCTGTCACCTATACAATTGTGACCAGATTTTACATAGTGTTAGGTAACCAGTTGTTTTTTTCTCTGAATAATATATTCTGAACATGTCGCCATATAATCATGTATTCCTACATCAGGTTACCCCAGATCACACAATTATTAAGTATCTAATCTGGGGATCTAATGCAGGTGTTTGAATCTAAACTATCTACTCTTTCCATGGTATTACTTGGATTCTTTCTTTGGAAAAGCTTAGTTGTCCCTATTTTCAGTACTTGCTTGCTTTTTCTGCACTCCTCAGTTGTCTTCTGTGACAGGACTTGCCATCTCAGATGGCTGTGGGGCCCAAGCAGGAGCTAAGGAAGAAATGCAGTGGGTTGGGTGGAAGGCATTACAAAGTATGGGGACTGCAACCTGGAGACCGCATCTAAAGAGGACAGTCACACTCACTTCCAATTCACAGTTGCCATTGGGCATATAGGTCCAGCATGTCAGCTTCCTTAGTTTTCAGTATTTCCTGTAAATCCACATTTTTGTTTAGTTTCTTAATTTTACCTGGTGAGCTCAAATTTTTATTAAAACACTATGTTGGCCAACTCTTCGTGGTACATATAGAAACCATTTCAGTCTGAATTTAGCCCCTGGGCTACCAGTTTATAACCTATGCTCTGGGCATCCTCCATTCTAGCCTGATCATCATGGTGTTCATTAAAAGCATAAGGTTTTAAAAACAACAACAACAAAAATGCATAAGGGCTTGGAGGCTAGACTGATCTGAGTTTAAATCCTGGATGCTAGCAAGGGACTTTATTCTTTGAGACTCAGTTTCCTGAATTTCAAACTAGAGATAAAGATTTCTGCCACACAGCTATAGCGAGAACCAAATGAGATTGTGACTATAAAGTATCATGTTCAGTGCCTCTTAATAGGAACAGAATAAAGAATCATCCTCTGTTTATTAGAGGTCTTTCATCCCTTTCAAGAATGTTTAGAGATGTGGTGTTTTCAGGGCAGGTGGGGGTGGGGTGGGGTGGGGTATGGATAACAGAGGTGAGTTTCTTCAGAAATAGCCTGTAGGGAAGTTTTAGGTTCATCACCTTTGGATCATCACCTATCCATCTAGACTTTTAGGGCCCCCCAGCTTCCCCTATTCCAAGGAGGAAGCCTCTGTAGTCTCTCCTTCTAAGTCAGACCTTGGGATATATTTGGCCCTCTCTCCTGGCAGAAAGGTCACTCAGTGTAAACATTTGCACCTACCCCAGGCCTCTCCCAAAGAATTCCCCAGCCAGCAGCTTCCTGGGCTTGAATCCTTCCAAAAAACTCTCAAGAGGAAGCTGTCACTGTTGGTAACTGGATGTATTACAGTGTGTCTAAACCTTTGCTCATTCTGAGGTGAGCTGGGCTAGGAAGAGGTCAAACATGTCCAAGGAAAGAGGGCTGAGATGCCAGCTCTGACCAGCATGGCCCTTGATTCCAGGCTTCTGCAGGAGCTGCATTCTGTGTCCTGGCTGCCCCAGGAGCCGGATCGTTGCTACCAGCTGCTGGACCTGCAGCAGGCTCTGGCCACAGAGAATCACAAGGCCCTGCACCTGCTTTCTCGCTGCCTGCACCTCTGCTCATCCATCCTTCACATGGTGAGAGGCTCCAGTTTACTGTGAACCTTTTCTCGAAGGCAAGCTCACCAGAGTTCCATCTCCTCTTGGCTTCAACTTCTCCTGGGATCCCCCTGGGTGGCCTGTATTCTGCAGTTGGCTCAGAGCCATTGTCCTGCCTAGCAACAGCAGTCTCTGCTCTGGGTGGTGGTATCAATAATAGGTAGGAAGAGCCTTGGACTCAGCCTTTTTCTAAGGGGTGGTCCTGGCCATGAGCAGGGAGGAGAAGGAACATAACAACATCTATTTTTCAGCTGTTTGTACCAGGGGCACTAGGGAACTGAGAGTTGGAATCCTGATCTCTCATGCTGCTGGCCACTGTGGCTGGTAGAAGCATCCAGTGATGACATCCTTCCTAACTTTGCATCTGCAGTACATGCCCCCTGCCAAGGGCTCTGGGAGGCTCTGCAGTGTACTTGCCTCTTGCCCATGACCTATCATCGCAGTTTGTTGTCTGTTAGGTGGGGCTGGATACTCACAAAGTTCTCTGGCTAATCACCATCTGCAGGTATGTCCAGTTCTGAGAGAGAGGATACACCCAGACTGTGTGAAAATGAGAAATGATGTGAAGGAGGTCCTTGGTATATTCACACAGGGAAGTGATGGTCTGTACGCTCCTGACAACAGCAGCTGGACCTGGCATTGCACTAAACTGAGTGGGCAGAAGGGGCACCGCGCTCCACGGTCTCTGTCTTCCTCCCAGTTTCTAAATCCCACACTTGTTTAACTGTTACAAAACTCTTTATAACTTTCTTATACTCAGTAGTTTGGTTTTTTTGTGTGTGTATGTGTTTTTTTATCCTCACCCAAGGACATTTTTGCATTTATCTTCAGATAGAGTGGGAGTAAGAGAGGGAGGAAGAGAGAGGGAGAAACATCGATGTGAGAGAGACACATCGAGTGGTTGCCTCCTACACAACCCCAACTAGGGCCAGGGACAAAGTGTAACTGAAGTACGTGCCCTTAGCGGGAACCAAACCCAGGACTCTCTGGTCCGCGGGTCGACGAGCTAACCACTGAGGCAAACCGGCCGGGGCTGTGGTGTTTTTATTATTATTATTATTAATAAATTATACTTGCAGTAAACACCAAGTGTCCAGTTTGTTGAAATATTTGCATATATAAACCCACGTGAAGATAAGAGAACACTCCCAGCACCCCAGTAAGCCCCCAGCACCTCAATAACCCCACAAAGTAACTACTACTCTGACCTCTGTCACCATAGATTAATTTTGAATTTCATATAAGTGAAATCAGACAGCATTGTTTAGCTCTTTTTTCTTTTTTTTTTTTTGACTCAACATTATGTTAGTGAGATTTATCCATAATGCTCTAGTAGCAGTAATTCCTTCTTTTGTAAGCTATGTATTTCCTCGTATGAATGTACCACCATTTATTTGCTAATTTTCCTATTGATGGATCTAATTTTTCACTATTATGAATAATGCTGCTATGAACATTCTCGTAGGTGTCTTTTGGTGGACATAGCACTCATTTGTTTGGGGCATATATTCCAGGAGTGGTCGCTGGAATAAATGATGTGTATGTCTTACAATGCCAAATAGTTTTCTAGAGTGATTGTACCAGTTTACAGTCTCACCAGTGATGTAGGACATTTCCAGTCGTCCCATGTTCTCATTAGTACTTGGTATTGTCAGGGTTTTTGATTTTAGCCACACTAATAGGTGAATAGTGGTATCTTACTGTGGTTTTGTGTTTCTTTGATCACCAGTGATGTTGAGCATCTTTTCATGTTTATTGGCCACGTGCTACCTTCTTCTGTGAAGTGTCTAACTCTCTTGCTCATTTTTAATTGGGTTGTTTGTGTTTCTTTTTTCCTATTAATTTGTAGGAGTTCTTTTTATTTTTTTTATTAAAATTTTTTTTTTCTTTATTGATTTTAGAGAGAGAGGAAGGGAGAGGGAGAGATAGAAACATCAATGAGAGAGAACACCACCTCCTACAGGCCCCCCACTGGGGATTTGGCCCACAACCTGGGCATGTGCCCTGACCTGGAATCCAACCGGCGACCTCTTGGTGCATGGGTCAATGCTCAACCACTGAGCCACACCGGCTGGGCTAATTTGTAGGAGTTCTTTATGAATTCTGGATATGAGTCCTATTTCAAAATTAAAAGTTGTATATATTTTCTCACAGTCTGTGGCTAAACTTTTCACTTTTAAAATGATGTCTTTTGATTAACAGAAGTTCTTAATTTTCTTGAAGTTCATTTTATCAGTCTTTTTCTAGTCCATGCCTTTTGACCTCGTTTAAGAAATCTTTGCCTACCCCCAAAGTCATGTAGCTATTCTCCTGTGTTTTCTTCTAGAAATTGTATTACCTTTTTTAATTTAGGTCTATGATCCATTTAAAATGAATTTTTATGGCCCTGGCCGGTTTGGCTCAGCGGTTAGAGCGTCGGCCTGCGGTCCTGAGAGACCCGGGTTCGGTTCCTGCTAAGAGCATGTACCTCGGTTGCAGTTTGTCCCTGGCCCTGGTTGGGTCGTGTGGGTGGCAACCACTCGACGTGTCCCTTTCACGTCGATGTTTCTCTCTCTCTCTCTCTCCCTCCCACACTCTATCTGAACAAAAAATAGAAAAAATGTCCTCGGGTGAGGATAAAAAAAAAGAATTTTTATGTATGGTATACAGTAAAAACCAGGTCTTATGTTTCCCTTTTTTTTTTTTTTTTTTTATCCTCACCCGAGGACATTTTTCCATTTTTTGTTCAGGTAGAGTGGGAGGGAGAGAGAGGAACAGAGAGAGAGAGAGAGAAACATTGATGTGAAAGGAACACATCGAGTGGCTGCCACCCGCATGACTGACCAGAGCCGGTGACAAACCGCAACCGAGGTACATGCCCTTAGTGGGAACCGAACCTGGGTCTCTCAGGACCGCAGGCCGGCGCTCTAACTGCTGAGCTAAACCGGCCAGGGCTTCTTTGCATTTCTTGTCTTTTATTGAATTGTTTACATATTTGTTGCTATTATTTTCCTCTAATTATTTGGATGTTATACTTTTATTCTCATGGTAGCCCAGGAACTATTCAGTGCCTACTCATCCTTCTTAGTTTTAGGATCTTGATTTTGTTCCTTTTCATAGACTCCTAGCTTGGAGGAGGTCATGTAACTTAGATCTGGCAACGAAATACAAGGGGAAGTCACTGGAAAAACTTTTCCAAAGACGCAGATCTAACTGGAATGTCCTTTTGGACCTTGACTCCCGCCTCATTACCTGACCCTTTGATGAAGGTAATAGAGAAGGCATCTCACCAGGACAAAGGTGAAAGTCATATTAAGGTTGGAGGAGGAGGAAGATAGGAGCTTTGTTCTGATTGATATTATTGGGCCAATATGCTCTTCAGGGACTTCATATTGCATTAAATAAAACCTTTGACTGGCTTAAACTGCACTTTTCTAGTTTTCTCTTATATACATATGTAATGCATATGTAAGAACAGCAAATGTAGCTGCTCAGCTTGCATTTTTATAACTATAACTCTTTCTTGTCTTTTTCTAAAAGCACCTTCTCAGGAAGTCCTCCTGTGGTCACCCTATTTAAAATCACAGCCCCCTTGATCACCAGCACTCTTGATCCTTCTTTCCATGCTCTGTGTGTGTGTGTGTGTGTGTGTATTTATAGCACTTCTCACCTTTTTCCATATACTATAAATTACCTATTTATTGTATCTTCCCACAAAAGGGTAGGAATTTGCATCTGTTTCTTGCACTAATATATCTCCAGTGTTTATTATAGGGCATGCTGTATAGTAGGTGCTCAGCGAGTATGTGTTGAGTGAATGAATGTCAAATGTGAATTTGTATCCATATCTTTCTCCCAGGCAGAATAAAAACCTTAGCATTCTCCTAATTTCCTTTCTCTCTCTCCACCCTCTACCCTTTCTGTTATGCTCATGTTTATATCTCTTGGAATTTTAATTCTGCTTTATTATGAGCATTCTTGTTTTACAGCCTACCTATTTAGAATTAACGATATGTTTCACAAATTTCTTTGCTCATTAAAACTTCTCATAGACCACTTCATCTTCTTTATCTACTGCATGTCTCTGTCAGAGATATACTATTGTTGTTGAGTGCATTTTTTCCCCAGAGAAAATCTGTAGATGGTAAATTTGTGGAGTCTTTGTATATTTAAAAATGTCTTCATTCATCTTTATTATTATTATTTTTTTATCCTCACCCGAGGACATTCTTCCATTTTTTGTACAGATAGAGTAGGAGGGAGAGAGAGAGAGAGAGAGAGAGAGAGAGAGACATCGACATGAAAGTGAGACATCGACATGAAAGTGACACATCGAGTGGCCGCCACCCGCACGACCAACCAGGACCGGGGACAAACTGCAACCGAGGTACAGGCCCGGGAACCGAACCCGGGTCCCTCTGGACCGCAGGCCGACGCTCTAACCACTGAGCCAAACTGGCCAGGGCTCTTCATTCATCCAGGGCTCTTCATTCATCTTTATTATTTTTATTTTTTTTATCCTCACCCGAGGACATTTTTCCATTTTTTGTTCAGGTAGAGTGGGAGGGGAAGAGAGGAACAGAGAGAGAGAGAAGCATCGATGTGAAAGGAAAGGAACACATCGAGTGGCTGTTACCTGCACGACCGACCAGAGCCGGGGACAAACTGCAACCGAAGTACCTGCCCTTAGCAGGAACCAAACCCTGGTCTCTCTGGACCGCAGGCCGATGCTCCAACCACTGAGCCAAACCAGCCAGGGCTCTTCATTCATCTTTAAACAGCCGTGATACTATGGCTAGGTACAGAATTCCAAGTTAAAAAAAAAAAAAATGTCCTCAGAATTTTGAAGATACTGCCCCTAGTGGTGAGCTTTTAAATTGTATTCTGATTACGTTGTGTTGTAGCCATTGACTACGGTTTTATCTCTGTTGGCACTCAGTGAGCTCTTTCATGTGAGGTGATACATGCCTGTTACAAATATTTACTGTGGAACTGCCGATGCCCGGCACTGGGTTAAGCAACAGCGAAGTGAAATGAGGTGAGACAGAGATCTCCTCCTTGAAGAAATCAGAGTGTAGTGAACGAGTCATACAAGTAACTGGTAATGATGAGCCTTGGACTGGGGCAACGAAGTGGGCAGCACGTGGTGCTGAGAGGAGGGCGAGAGCACAGAAGAAGGCATCTCACCCAGTCTGAGGGCACACTTGTGTATAATGCGCCTAGCGTAGGCCTCAGCTGCCTTAGGTCTGGGTCTCAGATGACTGGGATTTGAGCTCAGGGTTAGCAGAAAACAATTCACAAATACCAATTAGTTCTAATCACAAGCTCTATTGAGCATGAAAAAGGACAGGAGAGCAGCAAAGACAAAATGTCCATTTGACAAAGAACATCTTCCGAGTGTCTCTGGTGTCCCTCAACAGGTTGGGCTCAGGGAGTTGGGGACTGTCAGCAGCCTTTGCAGGCTGAGGACCCTCCCAGATTCTAGCAGCCACAAAGAAGCCCCCAGACTTTTATTTCACATACCCCCGTCCCCATAGAAAGTCTCTGTCAGTACACACAGACAGCTTCCACTATCACATAAGGCAGTACTCTGCTGGTCCATAGGCCACATCACCCACACCCCGTGGTTAGAGTCCATATCTTGGAATTATTGCTGGCCTTACTTATCCAACCTTTCTCTAATCTGTGTCATGTGGGACTCTCTATTTACACATGCACACATTTTCTATTTGAGCTCCCCCAGGGGCATTTAGTAGACAGGCCTGACATCAACATAGTACTTTGTGGTCTCTTAATATCTATTCTCCATTTCACATCTTCTCTGGTCACTTAAAAATGTCTGGGATTAATCTCCACTAAAAAAGCAGCCCTCTGTGTGCATATCTAGGTTCTAGGTTTCTGGCTTTAAGAGTTCAGAGTTTTGCCCTGGCCAGTTTGGCTCAGCAGTTGAAGGGTCGGCCTGTGGACCAGAGAGTCCTGGGTTTGGTTCCCGCTAAGGGCACGTACCTCGGTTGCAGTTTGTCCCTGGCCCCAGTTGGGGTCGTGTGGGTGGCAACCAGTCAATGTGTCCCTTTCACATCGATGTTTCTCTCTCTTTCTTCCTCCCTCTCTCCCTCTCGCTCTATCTGAAGATAAATGCAAAAAAAAAAAAAAAAAAAAGTCCTTGGGTGAGGATAAAAAAGAAAAAATTAAAAAACAAAACAAAACACTTAAGAGTTTTGCACAGACCAGTGGGTGGCTGGTTTGCTCTCCATCCCCCTTTCTCCAATTAGGTTTCCACTCTCTATGCTGGCAGGTTCATGAGGATACATATCAAATGCAACAAGGCCTGCAGGAACGGGTAGAAAACTGCAATAGGACCCGAACAGGCCAGGGCTCCATATACCTTCAGAGGGTGCAGCGCCAGCATCTGGAGAAGAAGCTGAAGCAGACAGAGACCTGGCTGCCACAGCTGGGACAGTTGGCCCGCCTGGTGGACTACATGATTTGCCAGAGCCTCGTGTCTATCATAGAGGAGAAGATAACCTCTTTTGTGGCCAACATCCTGCAAGTGAGGTGGTGGTGGCAGGTGTGGAGGTGGGCAGGGGCCAGATGACGGGGAGCAGCCCCACGACCTCTCCTGACCTTTCTTTATAGGCCCCAAGGCACAGTCCCTTTCTCTCAGCACAGCTGGTCTTTGACAGCTGCGGCCAGCTGTCTCATGAGCCCTGTATTGAAAACATGATCCAGATTCTGACTGGGGGCCTTCAGTTTGTCAAGGCCTCTGCTCTGAAGGTATTGGGGGGGGGGGCTATAGGAATTCCCAAATTATACCCTCCGTAATCAGAAGCTTTCAACCTGGTCCAAACCCTCATTGTTTTCCACTTCTGCCCCTTCTCCATATGGTGGCATGAAGGTAATGATGCAGTCTACAGACCTGAAGACCCCCTGGGATGCCCTGTACTGTGAAGGTATTTAAGGCTGAGGCAGGAGGAAGGAAGGGTGGAAGGAGGGGGAGGGCACATGCAGTGTGCTAATGGCATCGCCATCGAGTCAGGCTGTGGGTGTGGATGGAGCAGTTTTAACAGAATGCTTCCTCCCCCATTAGAGTGGCCTAAACAATAAAAACAATGATCTCACATAACAAGAAATCCCGAGGTAGGTGCTTCCAGGGTTGGTTCAGTGGCTCAAAAATGTCATCAAGTACCAGGTTCTTTATATCCTTCCCTAACCCCTTCCTGGGTTTAGCCGTAGGTCAGGGTAGATCCTTTAGAGGGTGTGTGTAGTAAGAGAGGCTGCAGTCAGAGATGTCTTTCCATCTTCAGGCATACTGCCTCCTAGTGGGGAGACGAGCTACAGCTCTAAACATCCCATTCTCAATCAAGGACAGGGGAAAGGGGGAGACAAAAGCCCAAGCAGGGAGGCGAGGTGGAAGAGGACTGCAGTCAGGCAGTGAGATTTGACGGACTTGGTCTGGGGAGAGGGGCAGGCAGTGGAAGAGATGGTGAGAATGGATTGGATTCTGGATATATTTTTAATGTAGAGCCAATGGGATTTTGTGATAGCTGGGTGTGCTGTGTATGAGACAGAAGTCAAAGATGACTAAAGGTTTTGACTGGAGAAGCTGGGAGAATGGAGTTCCCATTTGCTGAAGTTGGAAGACTGTGGGAAGAGCAATTTTGGTGGGGAGAAATCAGGGCTCATTTTTGACCCTATTAAGTTTGAGGTTCATACTAAACATCCAAGCACAGGTGTGGAGTGGGCAGTTGTTTAAATGGGACTGGCATCCAGGGAGAGATCTGAGCTAAAGGTAAATTTGGAAGCAAAAAGAAGGCATTTAAAACCATGAATCGGGATGGCTTCACGGGGGAGTTTTACTGAACTTTCAAAGAAGAACTAACACCCATTCTCCTCAAACTATTTCAAAAAATTCAAGAAGAAGGAAGACTTCCAAACTCGTTTTATGAAGCCAGCATAATTCTAATTCCAAAACCAGAAAAAGACACTACAAAGAAAGAAAACTACAGGCCAATATCCCTGATGAACATAGATGCCAAAATCCTGAACAAAATACTAGCAAATCGGATCCAGCAATACACCAAAAAAGTTATCCACCATGACCAAGTGGGATTCATCCCAGGGATGCAAGGCGGGTACAATATTCACAAATCAATAAATGTGATACACCACATAAATAAAATGAAGAATAAAAACCACATGAACATATCAATAGATGCCGAAAAAGCCTTCGACAAAATCCAGCATCCATTTCCGATAAAAACGCTCAGCAATGTGGGAATAGAGGGATCATATCTTGACATAATAAAGGCCATATATGAAAGACCTACAGCCAACATTATACTCAATGGGCAAAAACTAAAAGCATTTTCCTTAAGAACAGGAAAAAGGCAAGGATGCCCACTTTCGCCACTCCTATTTAACATAGTACTGGAAGTCTTAGCCACAGCAATCAGACAGGAAGAAAAAATAAAAGGGATCCAAATTGGAAAGGAGGAAGTGAAATTGTCATTATTTGCAGATGTAATGATACTATACATAGAAAACCCCAAAGACTCCATCAGAAATCTACTAGACTTAATACATGAATTTGGCAAAGTAGATTACAAAATTAACATCAAGAAATCTATGGCATTCTTATACACCAATGATGACCTCACAGAAAGAGAAACTAAGAATACAATCCCATTTACTATTGCGGCAAAAAAATTAAGATACCTAGGAATAAACTTAACTAAAGAAATAAAGGACCTATTCGCAGAAAACTACAGGTCATTGAAAAAAGAAATAGAGGAAGATATAAAAAAGTGGAAGCATATATCCTGTTCATGGATTAGGAGAATTAACATCGTTAAAATGTCCATATTACCCAAAGAAATCTATAGATTCAATGCAATCCCCATCAAAATACCAATGGCATACTTCACAGAATTAGAACAAGTACTTCAAAAGCTCATATGGAACCAAAAAAGACCTCAAATAGCCACAGCAATCTTGAAAACGAAGAACAAAGTTGGAGGGATCACATTACCAGATTTCAGATTATACTACAAAGCCACTGTAATCAAAACAGCCTGGTACTGGCACAAGAACAGGCATATAGACCAGTGGAACAGAACAGAGAACCCAGAAATGGACCCAAGGCAATATGCTCAATTAATATTTGACAAAGGTGGCAAGAGCATACAGTGGAGTAAGGACAGCCTCTTTAATAAATGGTGCTGGGAAATTGGACAGCTACATGCAGAAAAATGAAACTAGACCATCAACTTACGCCCTACACGAGAATAAACTCAAAATGGATAAAAGACTTAAATGCGACTAATGAATCCATAAAAATCCTAGAAGAAACTGTAGGCAACAAAATTTCAGACATCATACGCAGCAGAATTTTCACTGATACATCACCTGAGGCAATAGAAACAAAGGAGAAAATGAACACATGGGACTACATCAAACTCAATAGCTTCTGCACAGCGAAAGATACAATCATCAAAATGGAAAGGCTACCCACTGTATGGGAGAGCATAATTGCCAATGATATATCAGATAAGAGGTTAATTTCCAATATATATAGAGTGCTCATACAACTCCACTAAAGGAAGACAAAGAACCCAATTAAAAAATGGGCAGAGGAACTAAATAGACACTTCTCCAAACAGGACATACAAATGACTAAGAGACATATGAAGAAATGCTCATCATCACTAATCATCAGAGAGAGGCAAATTAAAACAACAATGAGGTATCACCTCACACCTGTCAGAATGGCCGCCATCAACAAATCATCAAACAACAAGTGTTGGTGAGGGTGTGGAGAAAAGGGGACTCTAGTACACTGCTGGTGGGAATGCAGACTGGTGCAGCCACTATGGAAAACAATATGGTGTTACCTCAAAAAATTAAAAATTGAACTTCCATTTGACCCAGTGATCTCACTTCTAGGAATATACCGTAAGAAGCCTGAAACACCAATCAGAAAGAATATATGTACCCCCATGTTCGTAGCAGCACTATTTACAATAGCTAAGATCTGGAAACAGCCCAAGTGTCCATCAGTAGACTAATGGATATAAAAGCAGTGGTACATATACACAATGGAGTACTACGCAGCTGTAAGAAAGAAAGATCTCTTCTCCTTTGAGACTACATGGAGGGACCTGGAAAGTATCATCCTAAGTGAAACAAGCCAAACAGAGAAAGACAAGTATCATATGATCTCACTTATTTGTGGAATATAATGAACATAACAGTCTGAGGAATGGGGTAGTCCCAGAGACGCGGAAGCGGGGTACAGACTGACAATCCCCTAAAGAGTGGGGTGGTGAGGGAGACATAAACCACAGAACTTATATGCATGTGTGCATGAACAGTGGACATGGACAACAAACTGGGGACAGGGCAGGGAGGGAAGGGGAGGGGGGAATCAGTGGGGGAGAAGGAGAAACATCTGTAACAAAAATTAATTAATAAAAAAAATAAAAAAATAAAGCTAGAAAAACAACAACAACAACAAAAACCATGAATCGGGATGCGCTCACTTAGAAAGTGAGTCCAGAGAAGAGGTAAGAGGACTGAGCGGGGTGAGGCGCTATAATGTTTAGGTGTTGCTAGTAAGGATCTCCTTTCTAAACACTTTGATGCTTTTCTCCTCTTTTGGTTGAAATTTTTAATGCAAATACTGCCATTTTCAATTAATCAGTTCCTAAGAAGGTAAAAGGAAGGCCTGGTTCAAGGGTATTTCTTGAGGAAGATACTGAGTACTGGCATGCTCGACATCCTTTCCACCTCCTCCTACCAGCTACACTTCCCAGACCCCCTTGCAGCTGGAGTGCTTTTGTTTTCCAGCTCTTCCAAGTAGTCGCAACCTACTTAATATTCTATAATTTCCTTCCTGCTTATTGTAGCTAAACTTTCTTCTCTCTACCTGAACCCTCACTAATAAATTCCTCTGTGGGTCTGGTGTACTGTGTTTGTAATATAGATGTATGTGTAAACTCAGTCATGAGCAGGGTGTGTGTGTGTGGGTGTACACATTTTAGAGAGAGAGGTTGTGTGGGGGCCCTGGAGGGCACTCGTGGACAATTATGGCATGTGTCTCCCTAGAAGAAAATGAAGAGGAGGGCTCGAACATGGAATCCTTGATGCCCAAGTCCCACGGCCAGCCCGGCGACGCTGTGCACATCTTCTGTGGTCCGAATATAGGATTGGTGTGGCCCTGGAAGTCTCACACAACTACTGAAGCCTTGGAGGTGCGTGGGTACCGGCTGCGGGGCCAGTTCTTGCCCCCCAATTACAAGCAGCTGCAAGAGGATCTGGATAACAACCCTCGAATCCAGCAGGCCCTGACTACCCAACAGGCCCTGCTGAAGGTGAGAGCAGAGCTTAAGGAGTGGGATGGTGCTTACCAAGTCCTATCACAGTCACCCACCTGTGCCCTAAGCACTTTGTCTGCCCCTAGGACATGCTATGGGAGGTGCAGGGATTCTGCAGGAAATATCACTGGATGCCAGGCATTTATGAATTTCTGCAAACCTGGGGGCCTCAGAAACTGGAGTCTATGAGAGGTTGTCCTATCAAGAACTACGTGATGCTGGTGAGCCGCCTGAACATTTGGAAGGCCTGTGTCTCCAATATGCCTATTGAGTTGATCACAAAAGGCAATTTGCTGCTGCTGAGCTGCCACAATATACAGGCAGACATAAGTGAGTGCTGCTCACCCTCCCTCCTTTTCCACCCACCTCCTTACCTCATCCACATGGCCCTCCTTGAGCCTGGACTGTCCACCAGGGACCATGCATGCCCCTCATTGGACCTGCAGAGCTTCCGAGAGCCCCTTCCCATTGCAGCCGTAGGTCTGACCACCAAAGAAGACAGCCTCTTCATCTGTTTTGGTCCTGCTCATTCCCCATACTCCTTCAGAATCATGTTCCTGTCACCTGACACTTTCTGTTCTTATGGCATGGAGGGCGTTCAACCAAATGTAACTAAGAAAAATCTTAGTGTTCGTTTTCTGCAGAGATCGAACCCATGCTTTCTTTATGAAGGCGGGAAGCCTCAAAGCCGAGGTCTGAAAGAGTTTGCTTGAAAGTACTAGCCCTGCCCTGGCCGGTTTGGCTCAGCGGTTAGAGCATCGGCCTGCAGTCCAGAGAGACCCGAGTTCGGTTCCCGATAGGGGCGCGTACCTCGGTTGCAGTTTGTCCCTAGCCCTGGTTGGTCATGTGGGTGGCAGCCACTCGATGTGCCCCTTTCACGTCGATGTTTCTCTCTCTCCCTCCCACTCTATCTGAACAAAAATGTAAAAAATGTCCTCGGGTGAGGATAAAAAAAAAAAAAAAGAAAGTACTAGCCCTCCTTGCTTTTGTTCTTCAACAGGTGACATGCATGCCTCATTAGGTACCTTATGGGCCACAAAACTGCTCCCCTCTTTCCCTACCCCTGTCCTAAATGTACAAGGTGGTTCAGGCTGGCAAGGGAGGAGCAGGGAGGGCCTGTGACTGGCCTGTTTTCGTTCTGACCCTGTTCGGGGCATCTTTCGCTCCACCGTTACTTGGAAAGCCTGTGTTCTTTCTAGTTTGTTGGCTTCTTGATTCTTAGTCCAGGATCAACTGGCTCCTTCAAAAAGAGCAGATGGAGAGAGAAAGCATGGGGTTCGGAATCCTGGCTGTTTTTCACTGGTTTGTGTGACCTCAGATATGGAGCTTCAGTGTTATTTGTAGCATGGACAAAAGAATGAAGTCACTCACAGGGTCATGGCAAGGAGGGTAAATGAGATGTTATTTGCATGCAGTAGGTGCTTAATTTTTTTCATGTTGTCTTATCCCTTTCTGTCTGCTAATCCTTCTTGCTGATTTTACCTTCTTCCCTTCCTACTCTGTTTCGCTCCTTACTGAGTTCCCTTGAACAGTGAATGATGTAATTACCCACTCTGGTGAGTTGTCCTCATCAGAAACTTGACTTTATCTTTTACTCTTTCCTCTCCCTAACTTTACCACATTCAACCTGTTGCCAAATCATTGCCATTCTTTTGTCTCCTAAATCTCTCTCAAATCTGTTTTCCCATCTATTTCCAACTTCAACCTTAGGAACCGCGGTACTTTATCAGTACATTGCTCCTTTACACCACACGGTGTCGCTCTTGAGCTCGCTGCCTTCGCGGCCTGATGCTGCTGGTCCAAAAGCAGCACCATGGCAATGGCCTAGCTATTGTCACAGTCCAGAGGGATATTTGAAAAAGGATCAGTTCGCATCCTGGTGTTCTTTTCAACCCTGGGTGCCCCTCAACAGGTTCTCTTTCTCTTGTTTCTCAGCTCTTGGTGCCGAGTCCTCTTGGTTACCTCCTCTAAGACTCCAAATGGGCCATACTCAGTACATCTCAATTATGTGCCCCTGGAACTCACTATCCAACTTTCCAGTGGAAGAGAGGCTCATGGGGGATAACCTGATTAACTTTTTACTGCTCAAAACATCAACTATAATAGTGACGCCAGGCTGCCTGAGTTTGAATCCTTGCTCTGCCACTGTGTGATGTTCATAAAGTTACTTAACATCTCTGAGCCCTTGGTTGGGGACAAAATAGGGACAATAACAGTATCTACCTCAAAGTATTTTTGTGAAAATAAAATGGGTTAAAGTACAGGTAAAGTAGTTGATATTGCCTGGCCGGTGTGACTTAGTGGATTGAGCATTGTCCCATGGACTGAGAGGCCCCGGTGAGATTCCTGGCCAGGGCATATACCCACGTTTCGGGCCTGGTCCCCAGTGGAGAGCATGAGTTTCTCTCTCACATCGATGTTTCTATCTCTTTCTCTAAAAAAATCAATAAAAAAAAAATAGCTGACATTGTATCTGGCATGTAATAATACTGCATTTTGTGGTATATTTTATACCATATTTCTATATTGTGTTTTGCTCTTCTGTGCATTATTTTAACATCTCTGAACTTAAGAGGCGTTTTATGATTGATGGCATGTCAGAGTTTAGATGGCATCATTTTTTTTTTTTGTGGTATATAAAATAATGGTGCTTCTTACAATTAGCAGTATCTTATATTTGATCTTGTCCCATATTCGTATTATTCTTGCCCTCGAAGACAATGGGGTCGTTCATATTGCCAAAGGCAGCTTCCATGATTTTATTCTACTTCCATATCTTCTTTCCTTTAACCCTTAAAAATAAAAGGCAGATTACACACTGTTCTTGGTATCTCTCCTATTAGAGCAGAAGCAGTAAGACTCCCCAAGCAGAAAACTTGCACCTTTGGCAGGGCATTCTGCTATTCATGACACATCATCCACAGGCCCTTGCACATGCTGTTTCGTCTATGCGGTGTGCCTTTGCCCTTTGGAGCATGAACTACCCAGCACATTCAGCTCCAATGTCCCCTCTCTGCGGAGGCTTCTCCCAGCTTCCTTGGGCCTCCTCTCCTTGCACTATGCCAGGTTGAGGACTTCTAGGCACTTATCACACCGTTTTGACTATCTGTTTATATGTCTGTCTCTGCCACCATATTGTAAGCTTCTGAGACTGGAGACCCTTTCTGTCTCGCTCGCTCGCTCACTCACTCACTCACTCACTCTGTCACTCTCTCTCTCTTGTCTATCGGTGCCCAGCACAGGCCCCAGTGTATAGCAGCTGACTGAACACTGGGCAGGTGTCCAGTAAGTGTTCAGTGAGTGAGGGAATGAGTTCATGATCTGGTTTCCCCTTCCTACTTCCACTCTGGACCTATAGCACTCTCCCAGCACCCCTTTTTTGTATGCACCCCTTTACACCCAGCCCTGTCCTGTGTTCAGAATCCAAGCTGGAGAGCATCAGGATGGACATCCTTGCCCACGTGCAGAGCGAGTGCAGGAGCCGCAGCCAGCACCTGATGAAAGAGCTCACAGAGTTCATCGAGGTCTTCCAAAACATCAACTCGGACATTCATGCCATTGCCCGGTGCTCCCAGAAGGTGGGCTCTCCCCGTCCTTCCTTCCCAGCCTAGTCGGGGCCCATCCTGCTCAAATGCTCAGCACACTCTCTTCAGGTCTCAGCTGAGCTCCAATGGGGCTTGATGCTCTTAGACTGCAGTCAGGTGCGTGACCGGCCCCTGCTAATTCTCGCCCTGTTCTCCTGCCTCAGTTTCCCCAGGGCAGTGGGAGGCCCCGGTGTGGTGAAAGAGACAGAGGTCTGTTCTGTGTGACAGTCGGATAGCGATCTGCCGCCCTGTCACCAGGGTAATGATTTGGTGGGGGAGACACTGTGCTGTGTGCAGAGAGACCTGGGTCTGTGGAAGTGATCTCAGATGGCCCCTGCTCCCAGTGGGTTAAAGGGCGGAGGCTGGAGCCTAGAGCCTCCAGAAGGTGGGAGTGCCCCTCAGGAATGGGCCCAAAGAGGTGCGCAGGATTGTTCTGGGGGTGGGGGAGTGGGGGTGTTGGTCTCACGCTGTGGCCCCTGCAGTTGAACGAGGCCCATGAGCAGTACAGCAAGTTGGAGGAGCGAATGGAATACACACGGTCACTACATGAACTCATCCGCAACCACTTCCGCCTCTTCAGTGCCGACATGGAGGCGCTGGACACCTCGGTGAGAAGACCATTCAGGGAGTCGCCCAGCCCACCCGTCCCCCTCCCCCACCGCCAACCGACTTGACTGCCCTCTGCTTGCCCCTCAGCTTCTGGATACGTGGGAGGTATTTCAGTCTGAGAGAAGCCAGGCTTCAGAGTTCCTGCTCAGCAAGCGACATGCCATTGTGCCCAAGCTGCAGCAGCTGATGATGGCTGCGTTGGTGAAGCTGGAAGGCCTGATTGACAAGGCCCTGTCCAGCCCCTTCATGGACCCTTCACAAGACCAGAAGAGCACCGAGAGCCAGCTTGTCACCCTGCAGCGTCAGTTCCAGGACACCGCCAGCCACCTCAACGATCTGCAACATGCTTATGCCACTTTGACCGGTACCAGCACCGAGGATCCTGGCTCCCTCCGCTCCCACCGTGATAGACCCTCCCGCTGAGATGAGGGCTTGAACTCAAGGTCCTGGGTCCTGTGTGACCCTAAGCAAGTTTCAGGAATCTCATACCTTCATTAGTCCCTTTTATATTTGAAAATTGCAGTACAAAATCTTTGTACATTGGAAACACATTAGGGTGGGGAGACAGGGGACTCACAGTCTAGGAGGGAAGACAAACAGGTGAATGTTCCATTAGAATGTGATGGGGTCAGAGGGCTAAAAGCCCACGCAGGAGATTGCAAAGGTGTCTTTGATGTAGTACTTAGCCTTCGTATAGCGTCAGCCCAGCCCTGTGCAGGGCAGCGGGCCCCCTGCGAACAGGCCTTCGTGCTCCACAACCACTGCTTCCAGCCAATGTGCTGTTGAGGTGGCTGCTGAGGGCCTCACTGCTCCGCAGGAGATGGGGACAGAACTACTGGTCTGACCTCTTCCATACAGCGGGGCAGCTCCTTCCCTTCTGCACATGAAGAACTTTGTGAACTCAAGTTCTCTTTTTTCTCAGATGCAGTCACTTCTATCAGTCACTTATGTCCTTTGGAAGGCACATTGCTTCTTGCCCAACTGCACTATTACCACCTCTGTCTATGGGCATTCCCAGTCCCAGGGCCATTTGGCCAAATGTGACATGTTGGCTACTTGGACTGTCCTCAAGCAAGGGACTTTCTCTTTGGCTAAGTATTGGGAGACCCTCTTCCCATCTTCTGACATAGACCACAGACCTTCACCTTTCCTGCTAAGGTTGGAGATGTCTCTGAGAAAGCAGAGTAGTGGACTCAGGCCCTGAGGTGCTGTGCCCAGGAACCCCCACAGCATTGCTTTGACTTCCTTCTTCCATCTCTGTCTTCTCACCAAACTCCGGGTTCTATTAAAATAATCTAGGGTTGCCCTGGCTGGTTTGACTCAGTGGTGAGAGCGTCGGCCCTCAGACCACAGAGTCCTGGCTTTGGTTCCCACTAAGGGCACGTACCTTGGTTGCAGTTTGTCCCCAGCCCCTGTTAGGGTCGTGTGGGTGGCAGCCACTCAATGTGTCTCTCTCATGTCGATGTTTCTCTCTTCCTCCCCCCCTCCCTCCCTCCTTACCTCCCGCTCTATCAGAAGATAAATGCAAAAATGTTATCAGGTGAGGATTAAAAAAATAATAATCTAGGGTCTTGGATCAGATTATTAATACTACTCTTTATTTTTCTTTCTTTTTTTTTTATCCCCACCCAAGGACTTTTTTCCATTTTTTTGTTCAGATAGAGTGGGAGGGGGAGAGAGAGAGAGAGAGAGAGAAACATCGATGTGAAAGGGACACATCAAGTGGTTGCCACCCACGTGACCCAACCAGGGCCAGGGACAAACTGCAACCGAGGTACAAGCCCTTAGCGGGAAATGAACCCGGGACTCTCTGGACCGCAGGCCGATGCTCTAACTGCTGAGCCAAACCAGCCAGGGTGATACTACTCTTTATTTTTCATTATGTATCTTTTACTCAACACTTTTGACATTGTCTTTGTTTTATAACCATGTTAACAACTATTTTAATATCTAAGGATTCCTGGTTTTGTTTACGCATTACCTTTTTTAAAAAATACCACATTTTTAAATTATTTTAATTCTTTCCTTGGATGGCTGTAATGTTTGAGTATTTCTTTTCTAAGAAGGAATTAGAGGGTTAACATTTCTAAATTTCTATGCTGAGAATGACTTTCTAATATGCTCATATCACAGCTCAGCTAAATATGAGCGCTGAGGTTTTCTTCCGATTCAGAGAGTGCATCACTGTCTTCCAACAGGTAGCACTGGGAACAGCTCTGGTATCAGTCTGATTTTTTCCTATGTAGGTAACATGTTTATTGATTATTTGATAATGATTCTTATATTAGCTCTGGTTTCCTTCCGGAATTCTTATTTGTATGTTGGATTTTCTGGATCTTTCCTCCATTTCCTTTATCTTCTTTATCATGACTCATTTCTTTCTTCTGTTTGTTTTTGTTTTTTGTTTTTAGTTTGGGGGAAATATTGTGAACTTGTCTTACAAGCTTCCGTTTTCTTTAGTATCTACTCTGTGCTTTCTACTGCGTTTTAAAGCACACATACACATGTTGTGTGTGTGTGCGTGTTTATGTGCACATGTATGTGGATATGAGTTTATGTCCATCATAGCAAGGAAGCACACTGTGCCCGATCTTAGTTTCCTGTATCATTCCCGTGGAAAGGAACCAGGGCTCCTCAGGGAAGGGATGCTTACAGGGCTGTGGGAGGACAGGTACAAGATGAATCGCAAAATCTTTTAAGCCTGAAAGTAAGGAAATGTTAACTTCTTTTAAAAAGTCATGGGAGGGTCGGTTCCCGCTAAGGGCATGTACGTTGGTTGCAATTTGTCCCCGCCTTGGTTGGGGTTGTGTGGATGGCAACCTGTTGATGTGTCTCTCTCACATCGATGTTTCTCCCCCTCTCTCTTCCTCCCTTTCTCCCTCCCGCTCTGTCTGAAGATAAATGCAAAAATGTCCTCAGGTGAGGATAAAAAAAAAAAAAAGTCATGGGATCATGTCATATCTGAGTACCAAAGTACAAAGTAAACTATTGGAAAAATGGGTATTTATTATCCACAGTAACAACAAGAAAAGCTGTGGGGAATGTTCTTAAAGGGGTGGGCTGCCTAGGCCTCATTAAGGAGGTGACGTTTGAGCAAGGATGTGAACTTGGGGAGGGGTGAGCATATGGCTCCTGGAGGGAAGGGTGCTCCAGAAGGAACTGTCAGGCCAAGACCCTGGGCCTCGGGGAGCCAGCCTGCTGTGCCCGAGCCACTGTAAAGAGTGTGCTGTGGCCCGAGAGGAGTCAGTGAGGTGGAGACTAGTGGAAGAGGAACCTTTCCTTTTATTGCCATTGCATTTTCTCAGATATTTTATCCCTGGAATAACTGTCCCTTGGACTGTCCCCAAATCCACTGTTCCACTAAACAATTTTGGAACGCCCCCCCACCCTGCCCTGGCACTTTTGGGACCCTCCCTTTTGTCATTATGGGCTCCTGACTGACCATTCCCCACCATGCAACCACCCCCCCCATATAGCCCAGGCTCAGCCAACCCTGTCCCACAGGGGATGAGAGTCCGGTGTCCTTGCCCATCTGTGGGATCCATCCCATCGTGCAGCAGCACAGTATCTGGTACCTGTACCGAATCATCTCTGAAAACATCAGTGAATGGAAGTGCATGGCTTTTGTCAAGGTGCTGACAACCCTTCCTTGGAGCTCCTGCCTGGGAATGGAGAGTCTATAGGGGGGTTGGGGCTGGGAAAGAGTCTCTAGCTGACCATGAGCCCTTCTCCCTACAGTTCAGCCTGCCTATGGCCCAGGAGAAGACAGACGGCTGGCTGAGAGAGGCAGCCCGGATGAGTGCCACCCTGGCGCTGCAAAGCCCAGTTCTGCAGCACGCCGTGCACATTCTGGAGGAGTTTCGCAGCTACCTGCCCTTACTTATCAAGCTGAACAGCCTCCCACTGCATAGCCTCAACTTTCAAGCCCTCCTCCGAGGTGTGTTGAGGTAGTCAGAGAGGGGAGGGGAAGGAGAGGACATAGGGTTAGAACAGTGCAGCAAGTCAGTTCCCTGCCACTCCTGTTGGAAACATCTCCCCTCCCTGGGTTGCTCCTTGCCTCCCCCAAGGTACCATGGGGGTCCTCCCTGCGAATCTGGGCTGGCTCAGGCTGGAGTCTGAGCTCTGGGCCCTGCGCTGTGCTCTGGACCTTAGGATTAGGGTTCTAGGCTCTGTATTGTACTCTGAGATCTGCCGTATGGGAGCTGGGCTAGACTGGGCTCGGGGTCCCAGATCTACCATATACTGCTGTTGCGTTGACTTGTTGTCCCTTCTACTTCTAGCCTTAGGGCTGGGCAGTCTCACCGTAGAACTCCTAACACTGGGCCAGCTGCTCACTTGTCCACTGCTGGAGTTTGCAGATCAAATCAATCAGGTGGGGCTCACTAGAGGTAGGGAGGTGGTCGAAGCTTCTGTTTGCTAAGCTCTAACAGAGCCAGTGAAGGTCCAGCAGCCCCTTGAGGCAGGGGGTAGTAGATATTGGTTTGTGCGTGGGTGGGGGTGGGGTTGAGATTGCTGGCCTGCCTGGAGCATATGGGGATCTGATGGGTGGTTTCAGTTGCATGTCCCACCAGGAGAAGGAAGTGGTGGCAACCCTGAGGTTGTGGACACTCAAGTCCCCAATACTTACTCTGCCCCAAAAGTACATGCGCTGTTCAGCGGGAGCCTTGCAAATAGTGGATTTCAGGGCAGCAGCCCTAAGTCAGACTATGATGCTGAAGGCCTGTCTGTGAAGCCTGGTGGTCTCATTCTCCATCTCTGAAACCTCTACTCCTGAGCTCTGGCCCTTGAGTCCCAGCTCCAGTGTTATCCCCTGAGCTATGGCTCTTCCAGATCTGGTGGAATGAAAAGGAACACATTCGTGCCCAAGAGAACCTGCAGCAGCTGCAGCAAGTCTGGGAAGCACGCCAGCTGCGACTGCTCAACTTCATCCTGCACGTGCCCTACAAGCCCCGAGGCTTGGAGCGCTCCAAGAAGCAAATGCTCCACAGCTCCCACAAGGAGGTAGTGGCCGTAGACAGTGGCACCTTCATCCTTTCAGGTGAGACCCAGACCTTGTGGCCCAGTGAAAGTCCCCTGCAGGGGGCCATGTTCATCTACCACATCCACCAAGTCCTGCCTGATCTGACTTCTATAGCCAGGTCCTGATCCTTGCTGGACAGCCTGAGACATCATTCTGTTCTGAGATAATGTGTTTCATGTAGCTCTCATATAAATCTTCTTTATATGTTTTTATTGATTTTTTTTTTTTTAAGAGAGAGATAGAAATATCCATGTGAGAGAGAAACAGGGATCAGCTGCCTCCTGCACACCACCTACTGGTGATTGAGCCCGCAACCTGGGCATGTGCCCTGACCGGGAATCAAACTGGGACCTCTCAGTGCATGAGACAATGCTCAGTCACCAGCCGGGCACTCCCATACAGTCTTAATCTTGGGAGTCTCTGCCCCTTCACTCCCAACCAGTGCCTGGCTTCTTTAGCAAAGGTCCTTCGCTTTCTGAGTGTATTAAGAAATGCCTCATGGTCACGTCTCTCCACCTTTTGATGCTCTTGTGCTCTAGAAAGTACCCTCTGTCTGATCTTTTGTCCCACTCATTCATTCTTTTCTCATTCCCTCATCAAACTCACCTGGCCTCCTCTGAGCCAAACACAGGAGGAGAGCCTGAGATTTACAGAGAAAAGTCCTGTCCCTCATGAGCTCCCAGTCCAGTGAGAAAGACAGAATAGAGATAAGTGCATGGTGGAGGCAGTAGAATCTCAGAAAGGAGACAGCTTCAAAGGACCAAGGAGAGTCAGAGAAATCTCCCCCTCCCTTAGGGAGAGGCCTTTTGCTGACTTATGAAGGAGGAGAGTTTTCTAAACTTGCAAGGGGAGAAGGGCATGGCAGGGAGAGGGAACAGTGTAGGTACAGGCACTCAAAATAGGATAGTTAGGGAATTGCTAGTAAAGAAAAAATTTCTTTCCAACACAATTGAAACCCAACTGGCAAGTTCAAAAAGTTAGTTACGAAGGGAAATCATAAAATATGATGCATATGTGGCTTACGATTATTTTAGTATAAAACATATAAAGGTACATTTATATATAATCTTTTAGCCTAGAACAAGAGCTTTGATTTGCAGTCAGCTGAAAAAAGTTTCTCACTTCCTTTCTTGCACTAAGGCATTGTCTACTATTTCCAATTTCAGTTTCTGTAAAGTTGAGCAGTGACATGAAGTTACCTGAGTCACAGAAGTTTTTAGATGTTTATGATAATTTCCTAATTTAAAAAAAATTGGCTGGCCTGTACTTAATTTAATGTGTTCTATCAACTCATCTTTACTGAAGCCTTCCATAGTTTCCATAGAACCAATAGCTCTTTTCCTACCCACATTTCATAATATTAGATTAAATTCTGGAGTTGAAATTATAACTCACATAAACAGTTTTCCCAACACACTGTGGCTCTTGGTGAGCATATAGTTCAACTAGTAGAAGAAAAAAAATGTCTGGGTCTTCTGGAGACTAGCTAGAGGTCTGTCTCAGTGTGTTTGGGGTATCACCTACTCCTGCCTTTGCCTCATCTGACTGCCGTTCAGCTTAGCTGGAGCCCACCCTTCCTTAGATTACAACAGCCTGCGGGATTCTATCCAGGAAAGTCTTCAGGTGTTGTTATCAATCCTCGCCATCCAAAAGTCGGGAGACTTATACAAAAGAGCTTTGGAGTGGGTGACCATCATGCGTGACCTGAGTGAGTGAAGGCTTCCAGCTCAGTTAATGGGTGGGACCTGAAGTGGGATGGCTCAGAAGGATGGGGTGAGAGGCGGGGGTTGGGTGGGGAAGATCTGAAAGAGTGAGGACCTCCTTCAGGTCTACTTCTTTATTCACAGTGAAAATTGTCTCTCCTCCAAGTAAGGTCTCCGGGTCCTGGGACCTGGGTCCTGCTGAGCAAAATATTTTGGGGGTGGGACAACCTAAGAGATCAGGAGCAGGCTGGACCCCCTTGCAGAAGCTAGAACCCTAGTATCCCTTCAGCATTCCTCTGGCTGCTCACACAGGTGACATATTGGAGGCATGGGTGACTTTCCAGCACAAGTGGATTTTTCTGAATAAAATTCTGCATGAGATGAAGATCCAGTTTCCCACTTCTGATCTGGTAGGGAAGGGGAGTGAGGCAGGGTGGACAAAGGCTCCTGAGTAGCGGGGCACAGTGGCAGGGGGAGCTGCCTCTTCACATCCACCCTCACTTTTACCCTCTTCCTCACCACAGCACTCCCGTTTCAAGGCCATGGATGAGCAGTATCGGATCCTGATGCAGATCTCTGTAGCTGACCCCTTGGTTCTGTCACTTGTAGTGCCCAATGTCAAGCGGACCCCTTACTTCCAAGGCCAACAGCTGCGACAACTGCTTCAAGCAGGCTCGGTGGAGCTGGAGGAAATCATTATGGCTCCAAAGAGTGTGCTCTATAGGTTCTGTGCTCGCTTCCCCCGCCTTTTCTTCCTCAGTGACAGTGAGCTGGTGGACCTCCTGATTGCCCCACTGGAGCCACGTGAGGCCCAGATATGGGTACGGCGCTGCTTTCCTCACGTGCTCGCTGTGAGCTTCAAGTCCAGCCCAAATGATAAAAACATGGATGCCCCAGAGTCAAGGTCAGGTGTACAGACTCAGGTGAAGGGACTTGCAGTGCTAGGAGCAGGTGGGGAGGAGGTGAAGCTGCAGCAGCCCCTTCCTCTGAATCCAGACCTCCCCAGGTGGCTGGCCTCTCTGGAGAAGTGTCTGCGTTTGGCACTGGTGCACTTGCTGCAGGGCTGTGTGGCTGCCCGTCTGCAGAGCTGTGAGGCTCTGGCCCCATCCCTAGACAAGGCCTTCAAGGAGCTGCCCCAGCAAAGACAGTTGGCCCTGCAACTGTATGTCCACCACTGGCTGGAGTTAGTCGAGTCCTTCCCATGGCAGTGTGTGCTTGTGGCAGAGGAGGTGGTATGGCGGGCCGAGATGGAGGAGGCTCTGCTTGAGGGGAGGACCTTGGCCATGGTCCCCACACATGTGTGCAAGCTGGAGGTACTGGTGCATTTTGTACAGGCCCAGAGGGCCTCCCAGGATAGGGAGCTCCTGCCCTCTGTCCGTCAGACCAGCCTGCTCAGTGCCCTGCTGGTCATGGCAGTGGCTCACCGGGATATAGCACAGCTGCTGAAGGAGCACCAGGTCAGTGATCTGACAGACTTCCACTGGGCCCGCCAACTCAAGTACCACCTGGGTTCACCTCACATCACCCTCCAAAGCCCCCTGCAGAGTCTCAAGACTACTGCATCTACTGAGACTTCTCTGACACCTGCTGCATGCTGGGTAGATGTGCTGGGCCGGTCCTTCCTGTACAATTATGAGTACCTGGGTCCCAGACTAGGGCCTCTACCTAGCTTGCTGCATGAGCGGCCAGCCCTGGTGCTGTTATTGGCCTTGGAAGAGGTGGCCTGTGGGACCCTACTGGGCCCTGATGGCGTGGGCAAGGCAGCCATAGTGAAGAGCTTGGCACAGGCCCTGGGGCGCCAGCTGGTAATAATGCCCTGCTTGCCTCAGTTAGAGGCCCAAAGTCTGAGCAACTACCTGAACGGTGCCCTGCAGGGTGGCGCCTGGCTGCTGTTGGAGGCAGCTCAGCACCTGCCCCTTGGTTTGCTGTCTGCCCTGGGCCAGCGCCTGGCTGAACTGCACAACCTCTATGCCCCACTGTACCAGCAGGCTTCCCGAGGCACCAGTGCCATCGACCCAACCCACCCGCAGCTCCTTGGCAGTGGTTTCTTTGAGCAACATCAGGTGAACATGCGCCTTGGCTATGGCTGTGTCCTGACGCTGCGTACCCTGAGCCCTGCTGTGCCTGCCAATCTGCGCCTGCTGCTGCGGCCTGTGGCACTGGCACTGCCCAACCTACAGCAAGTGGCAGAGCTGACTCTGCTGGGTGCAGGGATGTGGGATGCCTCCCTCCTGGCTGCCCGCCTATCCAAATTCTTCTCCCTAGAGAGTGAGCTGGCATCTGGGCCCCTGCCCTGCCGCTTGCCACTGCTCAAGCAGGTCCTCACAGACATGATACAGGCCCTAAATGAGACCGAGGAGGAACCCAACTCCCAGCCACCCCACACACTTGCTGATGTCCAGGAGACTGCCCTACTGCGTGCCCTGCTACGCTCACCACTGTTCAGCATCCCTGATGGGGTCCACCTTTACAACCTCCAAGAGCTGCTCTGTGGGGTCTTCCCCTGTGCCAGACAAGTGCTGGCGGAGCCTGTGACCCACAGGCTGAGGACGCCACTGCTGGTGGAGGAATTGCAGCACCAAGGCCTGTATCCCAGCCCTGATATTTTGGGTTCCCTGGAGCAGCTGTGTCAGGCCCTGGACCGGGCCTCTGGCATTTTGTTCCTGGGCCCTGCAGGCAGTGGCAAGACCACTTGTTGGTACAGCTTATTTAAGATCCAGAATCGGCTGGCGGGCATGGAGGACACCTCAACACCGGGTTGTCTGTCTGTGGAAATTACCCACCTGTATCCCAGTGTCTTCAGCCCCCAGGAGTTCCTGGGATGGCTAGAGGGCCCCTGCTGGCACCAAGGCATCTTCCCCAGGCTGCTTCAGGCAGCCAGTCAGCGTAAGATTGTGGACCCAAAGAGCAGGGCACAGGACTCAGTGAGGGTTCAGCACTGGGTGATATGTGATGGGGCCTCCAGTGCTGCTTGGCTGGACTCTATCACTTGCCTCCTGAGTGCCCCCCCACAGCTGATCCTTCCCAATGGTCAACTGATAGAACGACCCCCAGATACTTTTCTCTTGATGGAGGTGGGAGATGTAACAGGAATGTCCCCCACAGTGGTGGGCCGTTGTGCCCTAGTCTGGTGTGGTGGGGAGCAGACTTGGCAGGGGATGCTTAAGGTCCTGATGGCAGCCCTGCCCCATGAGTACTGCCTGCAACCCCAGACAGTCACCGAGCTCAACGACCTGGCTAACCACCTGGTGCCTGCAACGCTCCAGTTCCTCACCTGCCAGGGTGCCAGCTCCCTGCTGCAGGCACACGGGCAGAAAGATGTTTGCCCAGGTGTGGCTGAAATCACCAGCCTGGCTCGCCTCTTGCGTTGCCTGCTTGATCCCCACCTATGCACAGATGAGAAGACACATGTCCCAGGTGAGGGGAAGGGAAAGAAGGCTGGGTTGAGCACTGTGGGGCCTGGCGGAAAGATGGCACATGGCTGGGGCCCGGGTCAGGGGTTCTTTGGTGGACCTGGGCTTGGGGACTGAAAGTAAGAAGGAATAGAGCCAAGTCTCCTCCCCTTCTCCCACTTCCTCTTACTTGGGCTTCTATTCTGAACATGGTGGCCTTTGCAGGAAACCTCAGCTATAGTGATCCTGTAGCCCAAAGCTTAAAGTCCTTGAAAAGAAGTTCTCTGACCAGGTCCCAGGATGACGGCAATGATGTGCCTAATAAGCACAGGGAACACTTGCTGGTTGTCAGCAGCTTTCTTTTTGCCTTGATCTGGGGCTTTGGAGCCCACCTTCCCTCCAGGTATCTGCAGGGGTGGGCAGTGGGGGATGCAGAGGGCTAAGATAGACTGGCCTGTAGGTGTCAAACCCAGGGGACATCACTGTCAGGGGTGGGTGGAGTAGTGAGTGTGTCACAAATGGAACTGCTATAACTGTCTGATACTTTTGCCTGTATGTCCGTCTGAGCAGACTCTGGCCCCTCTTTGATACCTTCCTGCGGGATTCTATTAGTTGCCTCTCCAACTATCCTGAGCTACCACCGTCAGCCTTGGTGTTTGATCTACATGTATGCCCTGAAGATGGGACACTGGTCCCCTTCACTGGCCAATACATGGGCAGCCTCATCAAGGGATCTCTGGGCACCTTCAGTCCTTCTCCCCAGGTGTGAAAACAGTGTGCAGTAGCTGGGGTTGTGGCTAATGGGGATATCCTGGGAGAGTCCACGTTCTAGGCCCAGCTAAGGCCTACCTGCTCTTATTCCTTGATATGTTTTCACAAGAATACATGAAGTGTTCTGCAACTACAGCTTTAAGATCAGATCCCCAGACCTTTACTTTCAGCTAGACTACTGTCCTGAAGCTGCCACAGTAAGCCCTGCTCCTGTTTTGCAGACTGAACGGCTCTTGTATGTGGTGGACCTGCTTCTGTCGGAGGGACACCCAGTGCTGCTGGCTGGAGGGGCAGCAACAGGGAAGTCAGCCTTTGTGGAGGTGCTGGTGGAACCACATCACCCTTACATGTACACCCCCATCCACCCTGCCTTCAGTACCACCCACCTTCGCCTTCTGCTGAGCCAAGGGGTCCAGAGCCAAGCACGAGACAACCCGTGGCAGCACCGAAATTCCAAAGGCTCCCTCCTCTTCCTGCTGGAGGATCTGCACCTGGCCGCTCCTGGTGAGGAGCTGGGAGGAGGGAAAGAAGGAGTCATTGTCATCTTTTAAGACTATAAAATTCCTAGCAATATTCATTGACTCTCAAATATACACCTGCACACCAAACCTCAGTGTTTCATTCTTAATATCTTCTTATTCTACATATGTTCCCTGAACAATCTTACTCTTCTCATGGCCTCTTCTACCATCTCTCTGCTTTGACTGCTAAATCTTTATCTGCAATCCAGGCTTCTCTTCCACTCACCAGACCTGTTTATCCAACCACGTAGTGCATATCCCTACCTTCTTGTCTCTCTGGACCGTAGGCCGACGCTCTAACCGCTGAGCCAAAGTGGCCAGGGCACTACCTTCTTGTCTCATTGCACCTCAAATCTAACCCTGAATTCATCATCTTCCCCCAAAACCTGCTCCTATGTGTCCTCTGAGTAACTGGTACTACCATCCATCCAGTTACTTAAGCCAGAAATCTTCTATTGATATCTTTCTCACCAATGTGTCTCTCAATTTTGCTTGCTAAATATCTCTCAAGTATTTCCACTTATTTCTATTCCATCTTCCCTGGTTCAGTCCATCATTACCTGTAACTTTGGTAAATGCTCTTGCAAGGTTCCCTGTGATGAGGCTTTGTACTCTAGCCTCTTACATTCTGTGTTGTAACTGGACTCAACTAGGTACAGGCATCCAATAAATCAGGCTACCTCTAGCTTCAGGGATTGCTGTCCTCTCTGCTTTCTCTCCTTTATCTGGTTAAATTCTACTTATTCTTTACAAATAATCTTAGGAAATATCTCTAGGAAGCCTGAACTTCCAGGCTAGGTTAGATACTATTCCTGCAACAACCATGGTTTTATAATTTTATGTTTATGTGTCAGTCTCTTCTACTATACTCTGAACTTCAGGAAAACAGAAATTTGTCTCATTCATTTTGATAGACTCAACAGGAAGTAAGTGCTCAGTAAAATTTGTGGAGGAAAATTAAAAAAGGGGAGAAATTGTGATGAAAGTTTGGGATATTTGGAAATTTAAAATTTTAAGTTTCTAAAGTGGTGTGTTTCTAAATGGTGACAGATTCAGAATATGGTCATGAGACTGGGCAGAAATGAAAAATAGGTACAGAATGGAGCAAATGGGCTAAAGCATTACATGGATTATCCAGTTAGACACTGAAGTCCCTTATGGGATGAAGAAAACTTGAACCAGGTGGTATATAAGTAATTCATAATAGTAGGTACAATGTATTTCATACTATGTCCAATATACTTTATGTCATCTTTAGTGTTCATAAAAGCCCATTAAGATGGATGCTTGTCATGATTAGTTTAAAGATGAAGAATCAGATTATATAACTTGCCCAAGACACTCTAGCCAATAAGTGTCAGAACTAAGATTCAAATTCAAATCTGTTTAGCATCAAAACCTGTACTTTTCTCCAACTATATTATTTGCCCTTCTCAGTGACTCTGCACAAACAATCAGGATGTCAGTGGATAATAGAAACAGTAAATTCATATCTGTGAATGACAGCTGAGAAGATTTTTCAACAGGAAGGCTGAAAACATTGTAGAGTGAAATATATTATAGATAGAAGTGCAAAAGTTGTTCTTGGGTGACAGCAACCAAAAGAGTGGGCAAAGAATAAATTTAAAATGTAATAGACATACAACAAAACAAAACAAAAAAAACTGTGACCCATTGTCAAGAGAAAACAGTCAATAAAAACTGACCCTGAGATGATCTAGAAGTTTAGCAGACAAATACTTTAGGGAAGCTATTATAAAAGTTGTCAAGTACTTAAAAGAAACTATGATCTTAATGAGTGAACATATAGGTCTCAGAAAAGAAATGGAAACTACAAAAAATAACTAAATGGAAATTTTAGAACTGGAAAATACAATAACTGAAAAGAAAAATTCACTGGATGGCTTAATAGCAGATTGAAAATGGCAAAAGTGTTAATAAACCCTGAAGGACAAAACATTGAATATGAATAGAGCCCCAGTTTAACTCATATGTAATTGGAGTTCCAGAAGGAAAGGAGACTGAGAATAGGGCAGAAAAAAAAAAAATCTTTGAGATAATAATGACCAAAAGTTTCCCCAATTTCTTAGAAAATATTGACTTTAAAATATAGAAAGCTCAGTTATCCCCAAGTTAAACACACAGACATACACACACACAGGCACATACAATCAACCTGCTGAGAAAGGTCAGAAAAGATAAGACACATTATGTACAGATGAACAACATTAAGAATGATGGTTAACTTATCATTAGAAATAATAGTCTAAATGATGGTGGAACAACACCTTTAAAGTACTAAAAGGGGGGAAAACTGGCATCTTAGAATTCTCTATTCAGTAAAGATACCCTTCATAAATGAGAATGAAATAAAGTTAATTCAGATACATGAAAGCTGAAAAAATTTACTGCTGATAGAACTGCACTACAAGAAATGTTAAAAGATGTTGTTTAGACAGAAGAGAAATAATATATGGGTATTCAGGTCTATGGGAAAAAATGAAGAGCATCAGAAATAGCAAATATGTGGGTATATATAAAGAACTATCTTTTTCATCTCAATTTCCTTAAAAGACAGCCAGTAGTTTAAAACAAAAATAATAACATTGTAAGATGGCGTTTGTAATGTATATAGAAGTAAAAAAGAAATTGGAATAGTAAGAGGATAGGGTGGGGTAGTGAGTAAAATTAATTATACTGTTGTAAAGTTCTTTTACAACAGTAAAAGAACTACATTTATGAAATGACGAAATGTAAAATAGGAAGGTGAAATCGGAATTGGGAAAGGTCAAGTATAAAGTGTGAATTGGTACGATATTACTTCTAAGTAATGGTAAGTTAAGGAAGCATAATGTTAGCCCTAGAAAAATTACTAAACAATAATAAAGAGTATAGCTAAAAATAAATGAATAAATAAAATAGAGTGGGACACTAAAAACATTCAAGTTATATAAAAGGAAACAGGAAATAAGCAATACAAAATAGAGGAGACCAATATCAACATGACAAACCTTAAGCCAACCATATCAATAATTTACATGAAATGTAAATGGTTGCTGGAGGTCCAAGATGGTGGCAACATTCACCCGCCTCCCGTGAGCAAAATCAAATATATATGTACATAGATAGCAATTACTCCTGGAGACATCAGAACACTGAATGAACTGCTGGAAAGCCAAGGGAGCCCTTCAGGAGCTGCACGATTAGGGGAGAAGAGAAAGGAAATTACTCACTTTTAGGGAGAGTGTGTAGGAGAGAACAACTTAGATATGACCAAGTCCCGATGCATCAGATGCACAAAATTCCTTTAGAATCCTATGTGTGAGGAAGTAAACAGAATGAGGCAGGGCTAGAGGAGCAGGATGACACTGCCCTGCAAACTCATGCATGTCCTCACTGTTATTCTCAATGTCCCACAGATCCAGAGAAGAGCTGTCAGCCAGTGTTGGAGACTCTACGCCAGGCCATGAATGGCACTGTGTATGCCCACAGTACCTTGGAACTGCAGGCGCTGCAACCTATAGTCAACTTCCTCGCCACAGCCACAGTGCCGGGCTTCTGTGAGCACCCACTGTCCCCACGCCTCTTTCGACTCTTCACAGTGCTGGCCCTGGCTGACATGACCCAAGCCACGCTGCTGAGCAGGCACACACCCATCATCCAGGCCTGGCTTGAACGCTTTCCCTCTGTGGAGCGGGAGAGTGTTCTAGCAAGAGCCCTGGTCTGGGCCTCCGTGGAGGCATGGGAGGTTGTGGGCAGCTGTTTTATACCTTCACCTGTCCACCCACACTACCGCTTCTCCCTGCACTCTGTGAGCCAACTACTAGGCAGCCTGCAGCTGCTGCCAACCAGAACAGGCTCCCGAGGTATTCTGGACTATCCCAACCACCAGGAGCATTTGCGCCTGGTATCAGGCTTGCGTGGCACCCGCCTGACAATTATGATGGCCATGCGCAATATGGTACGTCTGTGGCTGCATGAGGCACAGAGAACCTTTTGTGACCGGCTAGATAGCCCTAAGGAGCGCACCTACTGTGCCAAGCTGCTCCTAGAAGTAGCTCAGAATGTCTTCTGCTGTGGGCCAGTGCCCCAAAGCCTGGGCAAGGGCTATGAGGAGGAGGAGGAGGGGGAGGGGGAGGAAAGAGTGCCTGAAGTGGAGTCTGAAGGGGAGCTGGCACAGTGGGAGGACTGCAGCAATAGCAGCAGTGAGACAGAGGAGGAGGAGGACACTTACGGCCTTTGCGTCACCACAGGCCCATCCTCCAGTGATTCAGGTCTTGCATCACCCATAGCCCCAGTAAAGTGGAAGAACACAGAGAGCATAAGTCAAAAGTTAAACCAGGAAGAAGTCACAAGGGTTCCCAGCTGTAAACTTGAGCTAAAGAGATCCACGAATTGGTGGCTGAAGACATCCCAGATGGACCTGGTCTCACCCCTGTTGCTGCCAGTGCTACTACTCTGTCCCCTGGAAAAGCCCTCAGACCTGATCTTCAGTCAGGAGCTGATACTAGGTTCCAACTCTGAGATCCCCAACTTGTACCTGGAACGGCAGTGGGAGAGCCTGGGGGAGCAGCTGGCCATGTCAGCCGCTCAGCTAAAGCTGAGCCCACACCTTGCCCAGTGTCACTCGATGGCCCAACACGTGGCCCGCCTGGTCCGAGTGCTGACCAGGCCCCGGCAGCATGGCCTGCTGCTCTCGGGGGCTTGGGGCACTGGGCGCTGTACTGCCATCACTTTGGCAGCTGGCATTTGTCAGGCCCGCCTCTTCCATCTGCCATGTGGTTCAGAGGAGGCCATTCTCCAGTGTCTACGGGATGCCAGCTGGCATGCTGGCATGTTAGGCCAGCCAGTGGCCCTGCTGGTGCCCAAGGGTGCGGATCTTACCACCTTTCATCGCCTGCTAGCCTTGGCAACCTCAGGCAGTTTCCCTGACCTGTACACAGAGGCACATCTGGACAACATTGAAGAACATCTCCTCAGAGACAACCTTACTGTCAAGCAGACCATCAGGAAAGAAATCCTGCTGCAGAGGTGAGGCCAAGAACCCCGTTCTAGGGGCTTCTCTGCTCTTGCTCTATTCTGGCCAAAAGGCCAGAAAGAAAAGTAGGGGTTGCTGTAAGGGCTCAGAAGGTCAGGGCTAAGGGTTCAAGGTTGGGACTGGGGCCTGCATGGGAAAATGGGAATAAAGAGGAGGACTGTATCTGAGCTCCCGGCCCACAGATTCTACCAGCAAGTGTGCAGCCACTTGCACATGTTCATCCTGACTGGAGATGACCAGGCCCACAAACAATTGCCCTCCATTCTTTTCCTGAGACTCCTCCAACTGGCCGTCACCAGCATTGACCACTATGAACCCTGGGACCAAGATTCCCTGGTCAGTGTGGCCCAGCACCACCTGGAGGGTGGTCAGAATCTATCCCCTGGTGATGGTGAGCACTTTCTACCTGTCCTTGCCACTCATCTCAACAAGGTTCTAAAGAGGATTATTACAGTCTCTCTCTCTCTCTCTCTCTCTCTCTCTCTCTCTCTCTCTCTAGAACCTAGTGAACCCCCTTCACCTTTCCTGCCCTCCTTCCTGAGCCAGGAGGCAGTCCCTTTCCTTTCCCATTCCTCTACAAGCTCAATAGTCCAGGATAAAGCCATGCCTGTTGTAGACTCCTTGAAGTGCCCAGACCTCCAGGACTCAATTCCTGGCGTGGCCAAAGCCATGGCTCTCATCCACCTTTCGGCAGCCAGCTACCATGGGCACCTGTGCCCTGAATTGCCACTTGTAACCCCCAAGACCTACCTGGACTTCCTGGACACCTTTGTGCTGCTGCAGCAACAGATGGTTGTGCAGATGAAGAACAAGGCCCAGCGGTGAGCGGTCCCATTCCCTGCCCTGTTCTCCTTCTGCTCCCTCAGGTCCATTCACTGGTACCTTGTATCTCCAGGGTCCACAATGCCCTGGGGAATCTGACAACACTATTTGAGCAACACAATACTCACACCAACCAGATCTCCACCTTGGAACAGAAGCTGAAAAACTCCTTCATGGTAAGGGGGAGAAGACTATGGGCCAAAGCAGAAGCCAAAAAGGGGACTTTGGAGGAACCAAACATACTGAACCTTAGTTCTTATCTCTAGAAAGTCCCCCTTTCCCCATGGGGTATTTCTAATCCCTGCTGCCTTCTCCTTTAGAACTTAGACTCAAAACTCCCCAGAACACAGCTGAGACCTGGCTGATTCTTCTAAACACATAAAACCCAAGTGTCAGCTTCTGGTTGTCCTTAGTCCCTTAATTGTGTAAGATTCAGAATGTTCTCCAAGATCTCAGCAGATTCCACTGGGGATGGGGCAGGGACTACATTCTCATGGTTGCCTCGCCCTCTGATCCTCTTCTCCTGAACGCTCTATCACTGCTAGTTGGCACACCTCTTGTAGCTAACCTCTTTCCAATACCACTTTGTCCTTCTACCTCTTCCTTTCACAAAGCACCAGGTATACAAGGCTGCTGTGTAGAGTGGGGAAACGTGGATGGGTGATGGCCGTAGGGGGAATTTATATTCCAGGACAGAATCAGAAATGGATTCAAATGGTATACTAGTCCTCAATGGCCGCCATTTCCTCAGTCACCCTCCTCTACAGGGCATTTCCCAGTGGCCAAGTTTTCTCTTCTCCCCCCACATCTCCCCAATACCTGCTCCACAATGTTATTCAGTCACCCCATTTTCTTTCAGAGCTCCCCAAATAACATTCATAATAAGAGATTTTTTTTTTCTTGTCCAAACCCTAAATCCTGTTGCTTCCTTATACAGAGCAATCCTTCTTTGAATAAACTAGCCTGTCATATCTAGCTAGAACTGGGAGTGGCATCATCACACCTTCTGTAGCCAAATACTCTCAGGTAAAGCTGTTTTCCCAACATGAAGAGAGGTTTTTTTTGTTTTTGTTTTTGTTTTCCTTTTTCTTTTTTTTTTTTAATAAGAGGAATTCTGAAATAGCATTTTTTTTTTTTCTCTTCCTGCTACACAAGACTTTGATGCAGGTTCAGGGAAAACTACAAAGAATTGAAGTAGTAATCAACTCACATGTGGATAATCTGACTCACTTTCTACTGGGCTTTCAGGCCTTATAGCTCCTAATGCCTAAGCTGCCTCTCTGATCAGTGCCCTCAGGGCTATCACCCAGTGTAGCTCAGCTTTAGGGACATGGCTTGCATCGTCTGTGGTTTTCACTGCGTTCTACATAGATGGTGCTCCCTGAAGTTCTCGTGGAACTGGTGCCTCCTAACATCCACCACGAGGAGTCACTAGTTAGATTGAACCTCAGGACTCAGTAGAGATGCCAAAAACAAAAAAAAGAAGTTCATGGAGGGACAGAAGTCCTCTCTCCCGTGTTTTCTGTATTCCAGCTTTTTGTCTTAGGCCCTACCTTTTCCCAAGATGATTATACCAGGAATTGTTGATCTGGTTTAGGGGTGCTATTCTTTGATCCCCAGGTCACTTGTAAGAGGCCCAAACTATGGATAAGAGGTGTGCATAGTCTCGGGGCATTCAGGGTCAGATCCCCTGGCTATCCACTCAACAGCCATAATAGTGTGTGCTCCTTTCAATGTCCCCACCGGAGGAAATGGCGCCACCATCCACTTATTTAAGCCAAATCCCAGAAGTCACTCTGGATTACTCTATCTCTTTTCTCTTTCCTATTCAGTTGGTTCATTTATTCATTACTGTACTCAACAAAAATTAATTGACCTCCACATTCTTTTGTCTGGGCAGTCGTTAATATTTATGTCTATGTCTACGCCTACATCTTAGGCGTACGTCTAGATAGATAGAATCCATGCCACAACTTTCTGAGGCGGCTCTCCTTCTTCCCACTTTACAGATGAGAAAACTGAAATCCAGAGAGATTTAGAATGAGGATTAAATGAGATTTGACACGTAAAGCATTTAAAAGTGCTGGCAAGTAGTAAGAGTTTAATAAATGTTAGTTACTATTAGGTTAGAGTGCCTCCTAATAAGAAAGATAAGGCACTGTTCTTGCCTTTGTGGTATCTAGTTGACTGGAAGATATAAACTAATGTAGGCAATTACAAAACAGTATGTAATGACAAAGAAAGTCCAGGAGACTCTAAAGTACCAACAAAGACTTTTGAAGCCCTGGGCAGGTTGTTCAGCTGGTTAGAGCGCCGTCCCAATGCACAGTCTGGGTCTCTGTTCACAGAACCTCAAAACAGTGCAGCAGCAGCTAGAGCAAGGCAAGCTCCTGCACAAGCAGCAACTGGAAGAGTGTCGGCAGCAGGAGAACCTCATCAAGAACCTGACCAGGCAGTGGGATGCCCTGCGGGCTCAGCATGAGGCTTTCCTGGAGCAGGTGGGCTCTTTCTGGGCCCTGCCCTGCATTGCTCCTCTCTTGAGGGAGACCAGCCCCTGACAGGATGCCCAGAGAGAGGATGGAGTGATTTGTCATGGAGTCTTTGGCGGTGGGGGGAGGGGAGGCAAAAGTAATAGGATGGCTTGAGGAACAGTCCTCTCATGGGGACTTGTAAGAGGAGATGATCCCACTTGGCAATACCTTGAACAAAGAGGGTATTTCAGGAGTTCACATCAAGAGTGAATCTCTCCTCATTTAGATGGGCAAGGCATTTCTCGGGCCCCTGAGCCAGCTGAAAGTGAGTGACTTTGAAGAGATACGGAGCTATCGAGCACCACCAGAATCTGTGATCCAGGTGACCGATACACTGTGTGACCTCTTCCACCGTGATAGAGGCTGGGCCAGTGCCAAGCAGCTGTTATGCACTGAGGACTTTTATCAGGTAGGAAATATGGGGCATAGCAGATGAGGAAGAGTGGAGGCATAAAGGGACACTTGACAAGGTAAGAATGTTGGAGTAAGGTTCCGAGCACCTATGTCTCCCCCATCCCTTTTAACATCAACTCTCCCAGGAGCTGGTGTTCTTCCCCAAGGAGAAGATGACAGACTCAGAGGTAGCAAAGTTAAACCTAGCTCTGAAGGCTCCAGGTATGAGTGATGCAGCCTTGCGGGCAGTAAGCACACCTGCAGCAAGCCTGGCAGCCTGGCTCTGGGCCGTCCTGCACTACAGGCTGGCACAACAGCGCGGACTGCCCACGGGCCTGCTGCTGCGGCAGGTAGAGGCCACACTGTCTCGGGAGCAGGCCCACCTGGCCCACTACCAGTTCCAGGCTCAGAAGACCCTGGAACACAACTTCGCCCTGACCAAGAAGCTGGAAGATTTCCAGGCTTCCCACAACCATCTGTTAGAGAATCTCACCTGGGCTCAGAGTGGCCACTATCACAAGTTGCCCATAAAGGCTGCACTGCTCACACCCATGCATTCCTGGACTACAGAGCTCCAGGTAACCAGCCCTTCTCAGATGTTCCCCCAGAGTTCATTTCTGCACCACTGCCTGTACTCCTCTGTGCCTTCTGGTGCCCTCACTGCCTCCCTCTGTCCCATGCTGCCCCTCTTGCCATGCTTTCCTCCATACCCTGCCTTGCTCCCTCTCTGCCAGACCCTCTGCTTCTCCCCTCCTCACTGGCCTACGAACCGTCTGGTCTTCCTTTCCACACCAGAAGTTGAAGGGGCACTGCATGACTGTGTTTGGAGATGCCCTCCTGTGTTCAGCTGCCGTCATTTACCTGGGTCCCTTCCCACCACTGCGGCGCCAGGAGCTATTGGCGAAGTGGCTGGCTCTGTGTAGGGGCTTTCAGGAGCCCCTGGGCCCAGATGATGTGGCACAGGCCCTGAAGCAGAATCAGAAATCTGCCCTGCCACCAAAAAAGCCCCTGCTCTCCATACGCTCTCCCTTCAGCCTACTGTCCTTGCTAAGCTCTGAATCCGAACAGTTCCAGTGGGACCGAGACCTGAAGCCCCAGGCAAAATCAGCTCGCCTAGCAGGCCTGCTTCTGAGAAGTTGCACCCACTACTTCAGTTGCCGTTGGCCTCTGGTACTTGATCCCAGCAAGCAGGCCCTCATCTGGCTGAACCCACTGCCTCAGAGAGAGACTAGATGCTCGGCCTCAGCTCCCACCAAGGGCAGAGGTAAAGCCAGGGATAACGATCATAGTGCTTCTCGGCGTCTGACCTGCCCAGCACTCTAGTTATAGTGATCTTCCCTTTCATAATGAAGATGTTAAATTTTTGTGGCCAGGGGATCCCAGGTTTCACCAGCCTTTTATATTAGGTCACATTTACATCTTTTGGCCCATATTGCAATGATTCTGAATCTATGTGGCTGACCAGTCTATGATCTTCCACTTCTCTGGTCTGCTCAGCACTATTGGAAACTTGGACAACTCAGAGCTTTACAATCCAAATGTGCCCAGTGTTCAGAAATTCTGGGGAAATATTTCTATTGGTTCTGCTTGGATCAGAGACCCATATGGGTGGAGTGTGAGAAGGAACATTTCCTAGAGGAAGGATGGGAGGGTGTTCATTTCCCAGAAGAAGGGGTTAGGGGTGAGAATAGTGAACATCTCTAATGGAAGGTGTATAATAAAGGGAGTCTGTAACACAGGCTCTGTCATCAGGCTATCTGGGACTAATATCTGTCCCCTAAGCCTGGAAAAGGCCCCAAGTCCCAGATGAGAATTCCAGTCAATACCTCAGTTTAGCCCAGTGTAACCCTGAGTAGAGCATTCAGTCATGTTGCTTCTAACCTACAGAACTGAGATAATAAACAGGTGGTGTTTTAAGCTGCTAAGTTTGTGGCAATGTGTTAAGCAATAGGAAATAAACTTATCAAACTATAAACCTGGAGACCTCCACTTGCCAACTTCTTAAATGCTTAACACTTTAAAAAATTCTTAGATTTCTGCCCTGGCCGGTTTGGCTCAGTGGTTAGAGCGTCGGCCTGCGGTCTGGAGAGACCCGGGTTCGGTTCCCGCTAAGGGCACGTGCCTCGGTTGCAGTTTTTCCCCGGCCCTGGTTGGTCGTGCGGGTGGCAGCCACTCGATGTGTTCCTTTCGCATCGATGTTTCCCTCTCTCTCTGTTCCTCTCTCTCCCTCCCACTCTACTTGAGCAAAAAATGGAAAAATGTCCTCGGGTGAGGATAAAAAAAAAATTAAAAAAAAAAAAAAATTCTTAGATTTCTTACGATTTAAAAAATAATAAGTATTCCTTTTTTCTGGCTCCTGCAGTAGAGGAGGCAAAGGAGAAGAGGTGGGTGGCTGTTGGCTAGCCAGATGTCTGTGTCCACCATGCTGCCCATGACTTGGCTAATTCCACAGTTTACGGCCTTTGACTTACAAGTACTGATTTCTATATTAGTGACGACTTTCAGTTGTTAGTGACACACCAGCTTAGGCAACAAGGGAACTGCATTGACACTTCGACCCACAGAAAGGCAGAAATGGAACAATTTCAGGGGTGCCTAGAACCCCTCCCTGGGATTTTAGAGAAATAACGATAGCTAACATTTATTGACTGCTTACTGGGTGCCAACTGAATGCTTGCTATATATTATTTCATGTCAACTTCACAGTAACCCTCTGAGGGACTCACCAATATCAACCCCATCTTGCAAATAAGGAAACTGAGTCACAGAGAGCTTAAGTGACTTTCCTCACGAGATGGAGCCTTTGGGTTTGTGGTGCTCCCTAGCAGGCTAAGTCCTCCTCTGAGAAGACCTCCTCTGCTTCTTTCTGCACAGGGCAGGGCTCCAGGAGAAGTCAAAAAGAGTATACAGGGGAGGGCATGGAAGAGGAAGATCATTACAATAGTGAAGAGAGTGACCAAGCTAAGGACAAGACAAAAGAACAGAAGGCAGAGGAAAGGGGAAAGGAGGAGGAGGTGGAAACGAAAGAGAAGCAAGTGCAAGAGAACAAGGAGGATGAGACAGAGAGGCAGCAGCCTCTGCCTGTTCTCCACCTCAGGGTACTCTCGGGCTCTGACCCAGACCTGGGTCCTCAGCTCCTGGAAGCAGCTGCTGGTGGTAAGAACTGGTCCCTGCCCATCATGTCCCCCTCTGTCCTCCCCACATTCTGTGGTCCCACAGGCCTCTCATACCCTAGGCTGACCTCAGCTCCTACCCTCATCCTGGGCACTAACTCTGTTGAAGAGCCCGGGGGGAACTCTGCTGTCAGCCAAAGGGGAGCTCATCAGAGCCAGATTTTGTGCATGGGGGGGCCTACGTGCTGGCATGGTGGTTGGGTGTCCTTCCTTCCCTTCCCCTCACAGGCCTGCCCGTGCTACTAACCAATATGGAGCTGGGCCTAGGGTGCCAAGAGCTGCAATGGCTACTGCAGCGGGACCAGCTGAGCCCACCCCAGGTGCAGCCTGGCTTCTGTCTCTATCTGAGCACTACCCTCCCTCTCAGTGCCTTGGGAAAAGGTGAGGCTCTGGGGGTAAGTTCCCAGCACAGCTTTGTGGACATACTAGACTCCTAGCTTCACTCAGTCTGGCCCAGAGCAGGCTCAGGACTATAGCAGGGAACCACACTCCCTGTGTACCCCCACCCTGTGGCTCTGCCATGGGGAAGGGGTTAAAAGTCTCCCATATGACCCCAAGCACTAGGCTGTGAACTGCTGAAGGGGCTGAATGTGCTGGATCTGGGACTGAACATGGACATCCTAGAAGAACAGATGCTGCATGAAATCTTGTGCACAGAGCGTCCTGAGCTTGAGGGCCGCTGGCAGGACCTCAAGAGGAGAGCCCTGGATACCTGCGAAGCTATGGAGGCTGCTGAGGTGCTCAGGGGCCCATTCTATGGGTTGAGATTTGGAGGGGCCCAGGTATGGGGGTGAGAAAGAGTGGAGATGATGGGGGACCATGTGGGGAAGGAGCAAATCCATGCAATAATGACTGTGTGCAGGAGCGGCTCCTGCTGATGCTACTGTTCCAGAACCCAAATGATCAGGATCCAGCCAAGTTCCTGCGGGACATGGTAAGGACTCAGGCAGAGCTATGTCAGCTGCATGCCCACTATGAGGAGCTAGAAGACCTGATGCTTCAGGAAATGGTAGTGTGGGCACCCTATCGGTGTATAGTCCAGCATGGAATGGCCATTATCAAGGCCCTTAGCCCACTGCACAACCTGCTGCCACCTTTCCAAATGAGCCCAGAGAACTGGCTGGCAACCACCAAGAAGGCCCTGAACAGCATGAAGCGGTGTGAAAATCATCAGGAGCAGGACCTGCGCTGCCATCTGCTGCAGCTGAGAACACAGCTGACCCGCCAGCTGCTGGGCAGTACCGTGGCTGCACTGGGCCTGACCCACATGCCCTTGGTAGGTGCCTTGGGTGCTTTGGCTCTGCTGCAAGTGGCAAGGAAGGCACCACACCTGGAGCAGCTGGCACTTTGGCCTGGACTGGCAGCTTCTCCCAGCACAGGCTATAGCAAGCCAGTCCCAGGTGTGGCTCGACCAGCCTGGCTAGGGCTGAGAGCCTGGCACGAATGTGGAATATTAGAGCAGTTGCCGCCATTTGCTGGACTGCGTATCTCCCTGGCAGAGCACTCCAGTGTTTGGCAGACTTACCTGTCACTATCATCCACAGTGCTGGGGCCTGCACCTGGGCCTGGGCCTGATCCACTCAGCCTCCTCCAGAAGCTGATCCTGTGGCGTGTGCTGAGACCTGAGTGCTTCGCTGGTGCCCTGGCAGACTTCACCACCTGCTTCCTGGGCCGGCCCCTGGACGAAAACCTGAGTGCCTCCACCATACCATTTGAACACAGTCAGGCTACTCAGCCCCTGCTGATCTTGTTGCCACCACCTGGTCACCCCACATTCATCATGCATCCCCTGACTGTCATCCAGAAACTGGCTGCCCAGCATGAGCAGGTTTGGGCCATGCCTCTTGGCCACAGAGCAACCAGGCTCCTATGAACTAGGATGGGGTGGGGGTGGGGCCTCCCAACATTCTCATGGATATTTCTGGATTACTTAGAAACTTTTGAGGTTATTGTGATGTTACTCTGGGTCCCTTGGGTCACCCTAGGGTCACCTGGAGTTATTCTGACATCTCTCTGTGGTCCCAGGGGCAGAAGCATGTGGAGGTGATAGCCTTGGGCTCTGAGGCCTGGGACCCAGTCTCCACTGTGGTCAGCACTCTATGCCAGACTATGCACAACGGGCACTGGCTGGTGCTGGATAACTGTCACCTGATGCCTCAGTGGCCGAAAGAGCTGCTACAGCCCTTGCTGGGACTGCTGGATGGAGCCAAGGGTGGGTTTGCTGCCAAGAGATCATTTCTAGGACCCTTTCCTACACTTGGGCCTGAGTTTAAACTCTCAGGCCTCATGGCCAATCCCCTATCTTCCAACCTGTTCCTTGTATCTGACTCCTGACCCCTTAGCCTCAAGTCTGATCCCTAGATTTGTGTCTGACCCTCTTTACCCAGTGATTAAACTCAGTCCCATGTCTGACCCCTAGTGGTCTCGGACCTGGAGTTAGAACTGCTTTTAGCTCAACCTGCAAGCAGGAATGTGGTCCACAGAGACTTCCGTCTCTGGCTTATTGTGTCTGCAGAGGCTACCGCTTCCTTACCAGGTGAGATGCCCTCCCCCAACCCCCAAAGGCTCTCAGATGGGAGGGCAACTGTGCTGTGCTGACTCAGCACTCTCCTTCCTCTCCAGCTGTGCTGACTCAGCACTGCATGCCTGTGTTTTGGGAGCAGTCCCTGGAGCTGGGCCACATCTTGATCACCAATATGGAACTAGCCCAGCAAGGACTCTCCGTGCAACCCCCTACCAAGGTGCTGCCTCTGCTCCTCCTCCACGGCCTCCTACTACACCGGCAGCTCTATGGAATGAAGCTGCAGGCACACAGGGGGCGCTGGTGAGGGCCCCAACCATCCTGTTCAGTCAGTCAGTCACACAGCAAACATGGAGTGTTTTCCACAGGCTGTATTCACCTCTGGGAGCACCAAAGTGTGAGGGCAGGGGGGGAGTCAAGGAAAGCTTCTCCAAGGACTTTAGGATCTCGCTTTCAGTTGAGTCTTAAAAGCAGAGGCAGATCAGGTAGAGATGGGGCCTTTCTGAGCAAAGGAAACTAAGCTCAGCAGTAGGGAGAAGATGGCAGTGTGCCCGAGGTGGACATGCTGGGGGTTGAGTGGGAGAGGTGAGGCTTGTGGTAGAAGATCTTTAAGACCATGACAAGGGGACTAATTTTATCCTGAGGACTGGGAAGCCACTGAAGGGTTTTAAGTAGAAGAAATATGAGCCTTGGAAATATCACTCTGGCTTCAGTGTGAAGACCAGACCAGACAGGGCTGGGCTGGAGGAAGGCAGAACAATTTTAAGAGGCTCTGGAAGTCTCTAGGGAAGAGATCATGGTGGTAGGGACTAGGGTAGTAACAGCAGGGATGGAAAGAAAATATGGGGTGAGGAAAAGAAGGAATCAAGGATGGCTTCCAGATTTCTGCCTTGTACAATTGGGTGGCTGGTGTAGAGGAAAATGCTTATTTCTACTGAAAGCAAGTTGTATTTGAGGTGAGCCTCAAATTAGTAATTAGTGAGCCTTCATGAGTCTGGAGCACAGGAGAGAGGTTTGGGCTGGAGAGGAAGATGTGAGAGTCCTCAGCATATAGATGGTTTTAAAAGCCTACTTCCTGCTCTCCTCCCCCAGGGATCAAGTGACCCTGACCCAGGTTCTTCAGACCCAAGACCAGCTGTGGGCAAGCCTTAGCAACCCCCATGCTGCCATGCAGGAGCTGGCTGGTGAGACCCTTCCTGTCCCCCAAATAGTCATCTGCCCCCAGGAGAGCCTGGAAAGGTGTGGAGGTGGGAGTTCTGAGGCCGGGACATCATTTACAGCTTTGGTTTGGGAAGTGGTGGAAACTGGAGAGGTTGGAACTGAGGGGCTCTGACCTCATCCTCAGCTTCGGTTTTCTATGGGGGTCCTGTGGGAGACAACAAGGACAGGGAGGCCCTGATTAGCCTCATACATGCCTGCCTGGGCCACAGCAGGGGGCATTGGGACCAACCACACACACCGCAGTATCTGCTGTCCACTCTGATACCCAGCCCAGGTAAGTTTCAGTCAAGTATCTGTGTTGAGGTGGGGAAAAGCCATGTAGTGCCACCCTCCTGGGAATGTGAACAGCGGCTGCAACAAAAGGGTAGGAGGGGGCAACACAACAATATTCATATAGTTATGGGTTAAAGTGTCAGGAAGGCCTACTCCCCTGGGTCTGGGGTGCACAGAGACCACCGTGTGTCTCACTCCTCACTGCCACCTCCAAGATCTAGAGGAGCTGGACGCTATGTCAGAATGCAAGGCCCAGATGCACCTCCTGCCCATACCACCTGAACCCGGGATCTGTGGACTGAGTGCTGGACCCCAGGCCTGGCTGTTGCGACGCCAGAGTCGTGCTCTTCTGAGCGCCCTGCAACAGACTTCATCCACTTGGGTGCCTGCACCTCGGGGTGGTTCCCGGCGCACCGAAAGGCGGCTGCGGCAGCGCCTTGTTCTAGCCAAGCGGAGACTGGAGTCGTTGCAGGCTCTGCTGACCGAGACCACTAGCCAAGACGAGGCAGAGGCCAGGTGGATGGTGATGGGGCAAAATGCGGGGCGGGCGGTGGAGGGCTTCCTCCAGATGGAGGTGAGGGAACTGAGCCAGCTGGTGAGCACACTGCAGCCGGACCTTGACTGCCTGTTACAGCAGCTAAAGGGTGCGCCCCCTTGCGCCTCCCAACGCTGTGCAGCTGTGGCCCATGCTCTCTGGACTGGCCGCCTACCCCCGCCTTGGAGACGCCATGCGCCTGCGGGGCAGCAGCCGCCTTGGCACTGGCTGCGTCAGCTGTCGCGCCGTGGACAGCTGTTGGTTCGCTACCTGGGCGTGGGCACTGAAGTACCAAAGCGCATCTTTCACCTATCAGCCTTTCGCCACCCACGCCGCCTGCTGCTGTCGCTGCGCTGGGAGGCTGCCTTTGCTATGGTCACCCTGGACCACCATGTTCCCAGCTCGAATGTGCCAGGTTGCCAAGGCCCCACCTCCACTCATTTCCCCCATAAACATCAGGAGCTGAACAGCAACCCACTGCACCTCCAGGTATCTTCCGGCAGCTCCTTCATTTCCAATTCCGCCCCCTCAACCTCCTGATTATCCCTCCCAGCTAACCAACCGTGCCTTTCGGTGATCCTGTCCCCTCAGTAGCCCCATCTGCTTCTCTGATCCCACTCTATGAACACCCCTTAGCTTCCTAGCTTTGCCTGACCATCTTCTGGCGCCCCCAGGTGGTGAACAGCCCAAACCCCATAGTTCCAGAGACGGGTCTGCTGCTGATTGGGCTACAGCTCTGGAATGCCCAGTGGGATCCACTAACAGGGGCCTTGCAGGACAGTCCCTCCAGCCAGCCCAGCCCTCTGCCTCCAGTCAGCGTCTGCGCCCAGGCCCTGGGCACCAATGACCTGCCACACCCTGGTGGCCTGGCTGTATATTCCTGTCCTGTGTACATGGAAGGGCCCCTGGGTACTGCTAGGTTGCACAGCAGGAATATCCTGATGCACCTGCCCCTGCCCACCAAGCTCAGCCCTGCCATTTGTGTTCAACGGAGAGTCCATGTGTGCAGCTCGCCCCTGCTCTGAGCCCTCAACCAAAATAAAGTTGGAGTGACTCAATGAAAGAGTTCTGAGATAAGGAGTGTATGTGTGTACACATTGAGGGTGTGACACGCTGAAGGGAAAGCAGTGTGCAGAACTGAGAAGAGATGTGTTCACATAGAAGGTAGAAGAGGGTGTGTGCCTGGCACCAGGGAGGGGGGTGTACAGACACTGTGGGGAAATGGACCTCATATTGGTCATGCCTAGGCAGATCTAACACGCAGGATCCCAAATCCTTGCCCAGCTCTCTACTGTAATCTCAGCACTTGTGCTAAATCCACAAGAGGTATTTTTAAAGGGATAACATTAGAATTCAAAATGATTTCTTAAGGCACTTAATGGTATTATTGGGATTGCCCTGATCCTGCCCTACCAGCCATCCCTTCCTCTATGATAGATTCTCAGAGTGAACCATAGCACAAAAAATCGAAATAAGATACAAAGTTCTATGTTCATTCATCAATTATTTGTTGAGCGCTCCTTTGAACCAGGTGCTCTTCCAGGCACTAATAAGGTTGTTCCAATATAGAAAGACAGACAATAAAAGGCCAACATATAAATAAGTTAAATCTGATGATTTTTAAGTGCTATAAAGAGAATAGAGTAGGCTGATATGTTAGAGGGGGACTTCAGGGGAGCAATTTAGGTGGTAAGGGAAGGCTTCCCGAATATTTTAAAGGGAGGAGTGTTTCTGGTAGAGCACTCAGTAGGTGCAAAGGTCTTGAGGCAGAACAACCCTGGGTGTTCAAGGAACAGAGTGTGTAGCTGGAGCACAGTCAGTGATGGGAAGAGTGAGCCAAGAGGATGGAGAGGTACAGAAATGGGCGGGTCACACAGAGCCTTTTCATGGTAATGAGCTTATATATTTTTTTAATCCTCACCTGAGGACATTTTTCCATTTATCACCAGATAGAGTGGGAGGGAGGGAGAAAGAGGGAGAAAGAAAGAGAGAAACATCGACATGAGAGAGACACATCGACCGACTGCCTCCCACACAACCCGACCAGGGCCGGGAATGTACTGCAACCAAGGTATGTGCTCTTGACCAGAATCGAACCCGTGACTCATTGATCCGTGGGCCAACACTCTAGCCACTGAGCAAGACCAGCCAGGGTGAGTTTGTATTTTCTAAAAGCATAAGGAGGAATCTACTGGAGAGAATTAGGTGGAAAATGACATGACCTAATCTGCATTTTTCAAAGATCACCCTGGCTGTTCTATGGTGGGAGAAAATCCAGAGTAACAGGGAGGAATGATGGACTTTGGATGAGGGTCATAACGGTGGAGATGGAGTATTTAGGAATATTCTGTGGGCAAAGCCAGCAAGACTTGCTGATAGGTCAGATGTGAAGAGTGAGGGAAGAGGACAGATCTGGATGAGTCCTAGACTTCAGGAGTGAGCAATTGAGTAGCTTATGGTATTCACTGAGATGGGCAATCTGAGGGAGAGACAGGGGGTTGGGAATCAAATTCTGCTTTGATATGTGGAATTATTATTTGTTGCATGATTACATACTATGGCAGAGCTAAAGGCCTTCACGGATGTCCTCTCCTTACCCCCAGCACCAGAGCTTACCAGGTACAACTCACCTCCCTCTCTGTCTGACTAGGTACAAGCCACATGGTGGGAGGGCATGCAGATCATGTGTGTACTGAGTGTCGGTGCACAACCTCTTCACTGCCACCACCCCACTTACTAGTGACTGTGGTGCAGCTGATGCCTTCTAAGAAAAGGCAGAGCAGAGAGGCAAAAGCTGCCACTTTCTTCAGAAGCCATTCCCTTGTCTTCCCCATGGTCAACCAGGGGCATGGTTGGTCCTTCAGGAGAGGCAATTAGCAGAACATTGGAGAAGTCCTTTTGGATAAATGAACACTCCTCTATCCACGTTTACCATCACTGCTATTTATCCTCCAGTGGGAGCAGGGAGTGACAGTGAGATGCCTGTGAACCATCTGAAATTGGCTGTATAGAATATTTTCTACAAATCCACACCATTCTCTGGACTGAAATTCACTCTTGAATTATGCCCAACCCAGTTATTAGACTGAGTCCATTAGAGATTACAAAATAAGTACCATATGATAATACAGCCCACATACAATGACTGCCATGTAAAAATACTCCAGATTGGACAATTTCACTATTGAAATTGTCTACCAGGTAAATTAAAATCCCATTAAGAAATTAAAGCCCCAAACAATGAAAGGAAGGAGGAAATAAGACAGCAAACAAAGGGGAGAAAGATGTGCCGTCCTGTCCCGATGGGTGAAAGTAGATGGAATAGACAAGGGGGGCGGGGAGAATGGGAAGAAGTCAGTCTGACCTGGGGCTTTGGGATGGAGCAGTAAACTGACATATGGGGACCAAAGAGGCTTTGGGCTGTTTTCCCTCCTGGGGCTTTAGGAGGGAAGTGCTTTGAAGTACGCTTACTGTGGTTCCAGGAGCAATACAAGGGCAGAGTGGCATGGTCAGGAAGAGGTGTCTCTGGATTCCTATATGGTGTGGATTCGGAGCAGAGATCCTTTTAGGCTCAATGGAGTATGAGGCAGAAAATCACTATGATCTGCAGCACTGAACAGGGTTGTTGTGAGGAGGCCAAATTATCAGGGAGGGGTACAAGCCCTTACAGCTGAAAAAAAACAAGACCACGGATTCATCAGTTTTAGAAGCAAATGCTGGCAGAATGCCCAGGTATGAAACTGGGCCAACTGAGAATTTCAGTTTGTGCACACTCAAGAACAAGTATTAGGCCAGGGGATCCCTTCCTTTCGATATTGAAATGCCCTTCCCAATATACCCAGATGTCACGTTGGAGAGGAGAAGAGGTAGAATGGGAGGAATTTGAGTTCCTGAGCTATTGGAATGCAGGATGGGAGTGAGACTTGTGAGGAAAATCAGAGCAGTAATTCAAAAAGGAGCTAAATTCTATTTGCATATCCAAATTTATGAGGAAATTTGTGATCAGCTCTGTATACTACATGCATTAATAATCTAAAGGCCAAAACTCATTGACTAGTGTGCTGTAGCTCACTTGAAACTCATTTATTTCTGCAGCTTTTCAGCCTAATTTGAAATCCTCATTCAGAAATAGGATAAATCGAGGAAATGTCTAAAATATAAAACAGTACCATTTTCACCCACTAATGCCGAAGAAGCCCTGGTATCTATTAGATAGATACTATTAATCCATTTTACAAATGAAAAGCCTGAGACACAGACTCAGTTAAATTATCTAGGGTCACAGAATCAGAAAATGGTAGAGCCAGTTTTAGAATCCAGACATTTCTTTCCAAAAGCCATTCTCTCCACAGCATTTTATTGCCTCCACCATAACAAATGTTGGGGAGATAGTGGAAAACAATACTCCTCACACACTCTTGATGGGTAAGAATACTGGAGTATTCTGGAGAGCAATCTGGCAGCTCTTAGTGAAATTAATTAAATGCTCCATGTTCTAGCAATTCTGCTCCCAGGTTTACATCTCAGAGAGTCATACACAAAAGAGTTGGAAAGTGTTCAGTCCTACTCTACTTTCTGTAGGATTAATGTCACTAATTTCTTTTATCAGTGATTGACATAATTCACCAGTACAGCCATCTGGGCCTGGAGTTTTTGTTTTTGTTTTTGTGGGGGGAGGTTTTTAATTACAAATTCAATGTCTTTAGTAAATATAAAAGTATCAGGTTTTTTACTCTTGAGTTTTGAGAGTTCTTTATTATAATAGATACTAGTCTTTTGTCAGGTATGTAGTTTGAAAATATTTTCTCCGAATCCATAGCTTCCTCTTAACAGGGTCTTTCATAAAGCAAAGGTTTTTAATTTTGATGAAGTCCAATTTATCCATGTTTCCTTTTAAAGATCATGCTTTTGATGTCGTTTTAAAACTCTTTGCCTAACCTTAGATATCAAAGATTTTCCCCTGTTTCTTTTCTACAGGATTTATAGTTTTATATTTTACATCTAATTCCATGATTCATTTTGTGTTAATTTTTGTATAAGGTGTGAGACTAGATCAAGGTGTGGTTTTTTTTTCACTCAATAATATTTATGGAGTATTTACTCTATGCCAGACATCATTCTAGTTAGGGAAGTTATAGCAGCAAGCAAGTCAGAGCAGGCCTCTGTCCTCATTCTGCTTCATTTCTTTTTTTTTTTTTTTTTTGTTAATCCTTACCCAAGAATATTTTTTCCATTGAATTTTCTAGAGAGTCGAAGAGAGGGAGGGACAGAGAGAGAGAAAGGGAGAAAAACATCAATGAGAGACACATTGATAGTTTGCCTCCCACATAACCCCAACTGGGGCCGAGGATTGAGCCTGCAACCCAGGTACATGCCCTTATCAGGAACTGAACCCTTGACCCTTCAATCCGAAGGCCAATGCTCTAACCACTGAGCTAAACCGGCCAGGACTCTTCTTCATTCTCTTATTTTTTTCTTTTAACTTGGTATTTTTATTGAGATTTTATTGTTAACGTTCAGGTGAAATTTTTCTCAATCCCCCTTTGTAGTCCCCCCACCCCCTCTCCTGACAGCTGTCAGTCAGCCTGCTCTCTATCTATGAGTCTGTCTTTATTTTGCTTGTTAGTCCATTTTCCTTTTTTGGTAGTTTAATTTCCTTAATAGTTACCAGGCTGTTTAAATTATTTACTTCATATTGAATGAGCTGTAATACTTTGCAAATGTGGGAGGGGGGCTTTTCTTTGTTGTTTAGGAATTGTTTGATTTTAACTAATTTGTCAAATACATGTATATAGAGTTGATTACAATATTCCTTTATTATCTTTATATATCTGTACAGTGTATAGTGATAGTTGTTTTCTTCCTGATATTGATAATTTGTGTTTCTCTTTGTTAGTCTTGCAAGAGGTTTGTAATCTTATTGATTTTCTCAAAGAAACGGTTCTTTGTTTCACTGGTGTGTTCTATTTCATGGATTTCTGTTCTTCTCTTTATTATTTCCTTCTTTCTGCTTGCTTTGGATTTT